TTGTTGCCTTTGAATATCAGGTTTCCCCAGTACTTCCATATTTTTTGTGAGCTTGCACACACTTGACATGAATTTGTATTTCTTTGGTTTTTTTACACTGATTAGTCCCTCTGTGCCAGCCCTATTCGCACAATGCAAAACAAGTTCTTCAGGAAAATGCTTTAACTAAATGTAATTATCTTTTGTCTTCTTCAAAAGTTGTAGTTTTTCTGTTCTCCCTCATAGTCCAAATTTCAAAAGGCCTCAAATTTTATGAGTACAGTAAAACTTGCATAAAAACTAGGATTTTTCTTTGGAAGTTGGTTTTGAAAAATGGATGAGCACTTTCTCACATATCCTGAAGAAGAAAGGGCTGCTGGAAAGGGGATGATTGGACACAAATCACAATCATGATAAGATGGCACCTGCTTGTTGTCTTCACTTTTATTGTCATTACATTTTCTCATGTATGCATCTATTTTACGATTGAAGCACCAAAATGTGAGAATTCATAGTCATAAGTAACAGCATGGGTGGGACTCTAATATGGGTTTTGTTGGGTATTCATGAATGAATAGTGGAACGCTGATATGGAAGGTGATATTGGCGGGGTTAAGTAAGTATATATATGTCGCCACTTCTAGAGATTTGTGTAATTTTGGGGTACTTTTCGTTGCAGTATGAATAGTGGAATGTACTTTACAGAAAGTAAACCCAGATTTTTCTACTCTAATTAGTTGTGGTCTAGCATTTTTGGCTTCCATATCTACAGACCTAGAAAATGTGTCTCATTATAGAGTAAATATGATGCTCCAATTTGTTGAATATCTGCTTACTGCTCGTTGTATTTATCATCTATATTCTTCATGAAATGAAGCAGATTTAGAGCGTATGTACTGTTAATATGTAGAAGCCACAGAAGCTAGAAGAATTACTTCATTTAGGGTGTAGAGAGGACCTGGAATCTTCTTGTTTACTTTCGAGGTGGAGCTTAAGGTTCTTGTATTGGGTGTAGTGCAGCTAAACAAAGAAATGACTCCTTCTGGATTGACTTTGACATTGGTATAAACATTTTCAGAGGTAGTATCATTGTTGCCTTATCCTTCTCATCATCATTGTAACAATTCTTACTTGCTATGGCTATGTACTTTTGTGCAATATAAAGGATGCTTTGAATGTATGAATGTTTCTGGAGAGGCCTTATTCTCTAGTATTACTTCAGGCATTGGAGGTGGTTGATGTGGATCAGCAGACTGAGATGGTGGCAGAGCTTGATGGTTCTATCATGAAATGTGTTCGAGACCAGAATGGTAATCATGTTATTCAGAAGTGCATAGAATGTGTTCCTCAAGATCGAATTCAGTTCATCATCTCCGCTTTCTATGGGCAAGTTGTTTCACTTTCAATGCATCCTTATGGCTGTCGGGTTATCCAGGTTTGGGCTGTGTTATCATCACTTATTTCTATTCCTTGTGGTGTGAAATGTCTTCTGTTGTCTAAGCTCACAATTGACTTACAGAGGGTCTTAGAACATTGTGATGACCCAAGTACCCAACGAACTGTCATGGATGAGATCATGCAATTGGTATGCAGTCTGTCCCAGGATCAGTATGGGAATTATGTTATCCAGGTACTTAGTTTCCTTTTTAGCATTCTGCGGTCATTTAGACATAGTTCTTTGGTGACATACCTAATTGATGTTGCTGAAGGAATGAGGATTTATGGGAGTTTTATAAATGGATCTGAATTTTCCGTGGTTATCATTAAACTTAGTGCTGATTATGCCAATACTTGAAAAGTTCTCATAAATCAATTTGTTCTCACCTAACCTGGTCTTAGAACTCTAATGGATTGAAACGCAGCAAAATCTGGCATATGTGCGAAGTTCTGCAATATGGCTCTAATTTCGATTGTCCAATGAATCTGTTTGTTGGAGGCCCATCTATTGAGCACCTGCCACGGAGTAGTCCGTCTGGTAACTCTGTAGTTAACTAAATATTGGATTTTGGCTATAGTTTTGCTTGGGGGCATGCCACCATGGTTTAATTTTCAAGTGACTGAAAAGTTGGGACAAAATCTGCCGATAAGATCTCTACTCGGCTTGCGTTCTTCCACCTTTTTTCTAAGAATGTTTTCTAATTCATGCCTGTTTTGCTGCCTAACATAATATATTATTTAGCCAAATATTTTGAGGTTGAAAATCTCTCATCTGATCATTGCATTTCTTCTTTTAATGGTAGCATATACTTGAACATGGGAGATCGCATGAACGAACTGCCATTATCAGCAAGTTAACAGGCCAAATTGTCAATATGAGTCAGCAGAAGTATGCTTCTAACGTTGTGGAGAAGTGTTTAACATTCGGTAGCCCTGAAGAGCGCCAATTATTGATCAATGAGATACTTGGTTCCACAGAGGAAAATGAACCCTTGCAGGTTTGTCACTCGCACATTACTTCTGAATATTAAAGAGATAGATGCGTGACATTTACATGCTGCATCTGTTGACAAAGTTTAATTCATGATTGAATGGAGTAAAAGGTGTGGTTCCTGTCATTACAATCTATGGAAAGTCATCATATTGTAGGCAGCCATACATAATGAGGAAATAGATGCGGGTTGAAATCTTGTCATGTGGCCAGACGGGAACAGAATGCCTGTCTTCTGATAATTATGATATCATGTCTGGCATGAACACTTAAATCTCCTAACAAAAGGAGAGATGCAGAGGGTATTAAAAGAGGTGCGGGTAGGCTTCATTGAGGATTTCGCTCACTTCTCTTGCACTAGGATGTCTATTAATGTTAGGCATGAAAATTAGAGGTAAAGATTTACAAAATGGCTGTCTTTTGAGAAGCTGGTCAGATACATATTGCAATTATGTTGTATCTGGCAGGAAAATTATAGCTATTGCAACAGTCGGAGAAATTTGTTTAACATGCTCTGGTTTAGATATATTTGCTGGTCCTTTCCTTATGTTCAATCACTGCCATGTAGACAGTCCCGTAGTCAAAGTGACGTGGACTGTTTATTTGCACAAATGCAGGCAATGATGAGAGACCCATTTGGAAACTATGTGGTGCAGAAGGTCCTTGAGACTTGCGATGATCAGAGCCTTGGTTTCATTCTTTCTCGCGTCAAGGTCCACCTCAATATCTTGAAGAGGTTTACTTATGGAAAACATATAGTTGCCCGTGTGGAGAAGCTCATTGCAACTGGAGGTCAGAACCATTTTACACGGTTCACTATTGATATTCTTTTTGATCTCTCTTATCTATGTAGATATTCACTTTTGATCTCTCTTGATGCTGCATCTTTGTTATGAACAACTGCGGTTTTTGTTTGCAGAGAGGCGCATAGGGATGTCAGCCTCATTTCCTTCTTAAAAAGATATTCGTCCGAAATGCGGAAGACTTTTTTTCCATACCTCCCTGCTATGAGTAATAATACTGATGTACAGCAGATGCAGATGATGATCGTTATTGATCATCTGTCATCTTCAAGGGTTTGAAGCTGTAAATAAAAGAGCAAACATCTTACCTCCTGGTATAAATTATCTTCTCAATGTAAATTTTAAGGTAATCTGTATGCAGAGGGTCTGCGAGGATAGACTGTATTTTACTAGTACAAAGAGAGGCCACGGGCACCTGCGTAACCTTTACCAGAATAACTGCCTAGTTCCTTGCATGTACGCAAAGTTCGAGTCTGTAAAGGGAAGTTAGCATTTTTTACTTTGATAATGTTCATGTGCAAGGACAACTTGTATGTATATGTACATATGATGCAATTTTGGGAAATAATACGCCATTTTATTGCATTGCACGCAGGATTCCTGTGTCCGCACAAGAACCCTCCAATGCAGCTCTGGTTGAATTTGTACTCTGGTCAGATAATCTTGCAGCCAGAATTTACGTTGGCACACTGCATTGTTTGCCTTATTATTTTCCCTTTAGTTCGTTAAGTGTGCGAAGTCGTCCCTTAGAAGAGATTTTATTATCCTGATCTAAATTCTGCACATTAGATTCTCGAAGTTGTGCAATTCCTATTTGGGAGTTCGTTGATGGAACATTTTTTATTCGGGATGAGATCCAAATTTCTTAAAGTTTGGACTGAAGTTCTTGGAAAAGGGCTTTGTGATCAGTTAATAGTCCAGCTAAGGCAAACAAAATCTGCTGACCTTTGTGGAGAACGGGTTCAGTTACTGAGCGAGTGGGAATGAATAAAGTTTGTACTTCAAAATTAGCTGGTGCTTTACCCTTTTGTGTTTGCCTGGAATTTTTTAAAAGTCAAGTAAGGCTTTTTACTCTCTCGTCAAAATTCAAAATACTATACTAATTTCAAATATCCTGAAAAAAAAAATGAAAGCAAAAGACACTTCAAACATAATTCAAAACAAACATCTCTTAAACCAACAGGCACTTCGACACTGAAGACTGCACCAGATTCTATTATCTTCACCCAACTCGTTCAACATCTACAATTCCTCTTTAGGTAACAAAGAACACTAAGGTATATCGGGTTGAAGTGTCGATGTTGCTTACGGCTATCCATTCTAGAGTACCCTCTAGCTCAAGAAATGAATACTAACTTCCATCTTCGAGTACGTCGACTCAAGATGCAGATAGCTAGACACATGGAACTAAAAAGGGGAGGATGAACCAATAAAAGTCCACGGCTCAGGAAAAAAAAGTGTGCGCGGAGGGAAGTCACCGGCTAAATCCTCCATGTACCGTCTCCCCCTGGGCTATATAAAGCATCAAATAGAGCGGAGCCATAACAATCGACCTCCAAAGAGCAGAAGGCAACACAACTCCCATCTCAAAAATCATGAAGTGAAATCCAGTTACAATGAAGACGGTCGACCATAATTTCAGGATATCCGCCACCACTTTTTTCTTCTAGAATCTGTCGGTTCAGGCAGATCTGCAAGTTACTGAAAAGGGAGAAGCCCAAATATGAGTCATATTCTACATACAGATGACAAAGCAACGACAGAACCTCTATTTCCTTGTCTTCTTTCCATTTTGAACATTGCAATGAATTCTGAGTTTCAGGGTAAAACTGGTGTTAGAACAATCCCTCGTCAGAACATATCACAGCAAAGGACGAATAAGTAGAGATATTCGACCAAAACATGAACAACCGACCAGATGAGATCACTTGTATTCATGTTAGCATCACTTAAACTCCCCAATAGGTCATATCAGAGTTTTAAGGAATATTTACGAGAAATTAACAGGCCAGTTAAATCCATTCACAATTCAGATCACTTAATAGTATCCAATATAGGGCGAGTTTTGGAAAACCATAGCGTTTCAAGAGCTCCTTTGAGAAAGTGTTTTAAGTCAAAGTGTAGTGGCTAAAAGCAATTAAGTGCTTGGTAAATTATAATTGAAAAGTGCAATAAGAAGATATAATTGCCATTTGGAAAAGACTAAATTCCAGAAGCCTTTCAGTGTTTTATGTGACCAATTTGAGCTTTTACTTTTTAATATGTTTCAATTTGATTTTAACAATTACAATGTAAAAAAATGTAAAAGAGACGTATTAATAAACACATTTCTCTTTTGGTAAAAAAATCAAATTCCACAAGCATAACAATGTCTTAAAAATTTTATAAATGTAAAAAAATCACAATAAAGTGGACTCTTTCTCAATTAAAAAGAGTAATTTCATTATAATGAACACTATCACATATGCACCAAGGAAGAGAACATGTTACCCTTCAAAATTACAAGTATCGTTCATTATTTGCTAAAACTATAGCTATTCGATCATGTAAAGTGCCATGTCAGAAGATACATTATCATTTGAAGCACCAACACCTCATTTACATTATTAGATTCAAATATATAGTTATAATTAGGATCCAAATTTGTTCTTGTGAAATGAGTATCATTCTACATAATTATGTAAAGTCATTGCCGCTACTACAATTTTCACTTATTTTTTATACGGATAATTTGGCATATTCTTTAGAATCAGCTACTTCTTTTTCATACGTCAAAGCTCACTTAGTTTCTGATAATAGACTAGTGAGGAATGAACATGGCTAGCCACTTCCTAATAATCTGTAGGTTTCGTTAAAACTCTGGTAAAATGATATCCAACGTGGCCCCAAAGAACCTAGATATCAAGCATCTACTAATTTATATTTACCTACACAACTGTAATGTAAATTTAATCCCCTCACACGCACACATATATGTATATGTTTGTGTATCTACACAATACATATATATACACAGAACTACAGCCTTACTTCTGAATTATATGTGTGTGTATACATATATAGTATACGTATAATAAACATATACAATATACTATACATAATATACTATATATCATATACCATATATCTATATATAATAAATATACGAGTATCACGAGCTGTTCCCTCCGTCCAGCCCCAAAAATAAATAAATTCCATGTTAAACTTACACACGGCCAATACAATTTAAGACGGCTTTTCTTTTCGATAAAATAAACGAATTTCATCCTCATAAGTACCACCGCCAAAATATGTGTACCATCCATAACTCCAACGCGATCCTAAAACAAAAAGAGAAATATTAGTTGGTTTATATTTATTTCTTCTTTTGTATCGTATAATCATACCTTACCTTAAAAAATGGATAAAATCTTTGATTATTCTTGATATTCTCTGGAATTACGCTAAATTGTCGATCTAATAGTTAGATCCTATCCTTTCCCATATCAAATACTTTCTCCAGAAATAAACCAAAGTACCTGCTTATGATTTCCCGAGAGTGATAAAAGCGCTCTTGCACTAACTTGTTAACTATATACCATGTCCTAAAATGTAAAAAAACATTCCAAGCATTTCAGCAACACCGATACTGCTAGATCATTCAAGACCATTACATATTACTAAGTTATGCAATAAATTATTAAATACAATCCTATCTATTCTAAACATCTGATAGCTCCCTATCTTATTGGCACTTTCGCCCATCAACTCTCTTATCCATACATTTCTTGTATATGATAAAGTCATGCAAGGTTTTTTATGAATGTATCTTACGTAGTAAACAATTACATCATGAGCAATGACGAAGACAAGTTGACAAAATTTCTCTTCCTCTTTTTCGTAGTTTCCCTTTCGGGATGTTCAGCCATGACTCGTTATAGTAACAAACAAAATACAAAGTTAGAGTAAGGGAAGTATTAAATAAGCTTATCATCCATTAAGAGAGCAATTATCAACCATCAAATATATGCAAACTTCACCTTACTTTAACTAATCATATCCCAAAAATAAAAACTATGAAAAAGAGGATGAGGAATTTTGGCATCGTGATGCATATGCTTACTAGGTAATATGCACTCATAAATAACCTTGCATGATCTCATCATATACAAGAAATGCATGATTAAGAGAGTTGATGGACAAAAGTGCCAATATAATAAAATTAGAATGGATAAGATTGTATTTAATAATATAATGCATGACTTAGTAACACGTAATGGTTTACAAGGATCTACAAATGTAGGTGTTGCAAAAATGCTCAAAATGTTTTATCACATTTTAGGACATGGTATAGGTAACGGGTTAGAACAAATGCGCTTCCAGCACTCTGGAGAAACTATAAGCAGGGATTTTGACTTAGTTTTTGAAAAAACATATGCTATGTGCTATGGAAAAGGATATGATACAATCATCAGATCGACAATTTAGAAAGAATCCAAAGAAGTTCAAGAATAATTGAAGATTTTAACCATACTTAAGATAAGGTATGATTACACAATAAAAGGAATAAATAAATACAAAGCAACTAATATTTGCCTTTTTTGTTTTAAGATTGCATTAGAGCTACTGGATGATTTGCATATGCTAGCGGTAGAGAATCTATGTACAATCAAATTCATTTTATTGATCAAAAAGGAACACCGACTCAAAATGTATTGGCTGTGTAATTTTTAACATGGACTTTACATATGTTTAGGCAGGTTAGGAGGGAATAGCTCATGACACTCCTATCTTCTATGAATTTTTATACATTTATACATATATAGATATATATGTATGTATATACATATTAATGTATATATAATACATACAACATATATAGTATTTATATATGTATATTGATCAATTTTACATTATATTTCTGTGTAGGTAAATATTATTTTGTAGATGCTGGATATCCAAATCCCAAGGGTTAGTTGGGGCCATAAAAGGAAGTTGGTATCATTTCCTAGAGTTTCAACGAGGCCCTATAGTGTTCAACCGTGCTCATTCGTAACTACTATCCAGACTAGAGTGGCTAAGTGCAAAAGGTTTAGTCTATCACATGATTATGCCATGACCCCTAATTGTAATATTCAGCTCATAGACTGCCATTGTAATTTTGATATTAGAAGCAATTAGACCAATGCAACCACAATAATAGTACCTAGGACCATTTCCAATTTCACTTGCATTATTCTTCAAAGTTACAAAAGATAGGTAGGAGCATTGGTTTAATGTTCTTAAGTGCTTCTCAACCAAATAAAATGCCTTAGCCTACCTACAAAGCCGATAAGTCCACTTGCTCTCGTCTCGCCTAGTAACCAAAGCGCTATGGATTCACATTGAATGGTGAGAAGTGTGCATCAAGATTGATAAATTCAATCATATCAAGTAAAAGGTGTTCTAAGAGCAATTAAAATATAATATGAACTCCTCGAAATACACATTTGACAATGCCTCCTCTCAGAGGGGCTTCAGTATAAGGCTTGAAATTGAAGAAAAGCTAATGGAAGAACTAAAAAGACAACTCACACTGGACATGACAAACAAATGAAAGAGAAAGGGAAAAAGGATTATTCACAAACAAAGTGAACATTCGAAAACGAGAGTTTGTTGACATGCTTCCCTCAAAAGAGCATCATAATAACTTCTTTTGGCAACCCTAGTTACATCAATGTAGTTACTAGCTATATAGAAACGAAAAGCAAAAGCACAAATACTAACCTCCTTCAGAATAAATTGAGTTGTAGTGCACCTCTGCCCAGAAACTCAAGAAAATAACTGGATATAAATATAAAAAAAAAAAAAGATGATAAGTTTATGCATCACATCATTCAAAAAACTACAGAACTCTACACGATCCAGACAGAAGTCAATGCCATATTGAGTTTTAGAGCTCCAATTATACTAAAATTACAGCATCATTTAACTTATACCTTCAAGATAAAACAAACAGATTCTCCTCTGTCAGTACAGATATGCTGATACAGAAACCTCAAAGTGAACAAGGTCTGGGGAGTGTAAAGGAGAAAGGAAAGGAAAGGACTTGTTGAGGGAATGGTCTGGAACTTACCCTAATAACATCACAAGTTCAACTCTATTAGCACAAATCCCTTGCAATAATAAACAAAGAATAGTCAACACAGAAAGATACTGTCTAGTTACTCTGGATTTTGTAATAATGCACAAATCACTGGAATGACCTCTTATATGTCTTCATACTCTGAAAACTTAGTCCTTCCAATCGTGATACTTTTAGATGTTCTCCATCACTTTAAGAAACACACAATGAGCTCCTCCGTCAATGCTCTCCACCATCCAGGATCATTCACATAGTAGACTCGGCTTTTTCAATTCCATATCTTCCACATAATCCAGATCTAGATCTTTCACATTTTTACTTTTGACAACTCGGCTGTTTGTCCGTTGCTTCTTCAAAATAACAGCTGACTGCTTCATCAACTTAATGTACTTCTGCCTCACTCTCAGCAGAGGATGTCTCTCTATTGCATACTTGTCGTTGCATGCCTCTTTTAAAATCGCTGTACAAGTCTTGTTCCTTAGAGATAAATAAAAGACATGTGGGTGCCTCTCAAACGCCTTATGCACTTTCTGTGGCAAACACAGATACTTTTTGAGGCATAAAAGCTTCTTCCTTTCAGCAGAATGCTCCACAAAGAGACTAAGTAATTCATGAAGAACACCCACAACTCGTTTCTCTGCTACATCGCTATCTGGATCCAAGTTTAAGCAATCCTCATAAGGGGAAACATAAGGCTTCTTTTGAAACTCCTTTAACCAAGCCTCAATCTTTTTTCTCATCCTTACACCTTGAGAGGGAAAAAATGGGAATTCAATTGCCTCCATCGAATCTCCAGAACCCAATCCTCTATCCAAGGCATGTTTTTGCAACACAGACAAGACTCTCTCTTGACAATCAACGGCTAATCCCCTTAAGCCATCTCCCATATCCACAACCCTAAAAGAATCGTCGAGATTTTTTTCAGGGTCACGGAGAAAATCATCAGGCAACCCCAAATACCACTGCATCCCTTGAATGATCTTCAAGGGCAGAACTCTGTTCTTACTCATAAGTATGAACTTCCTCAGCCTATTCCACAGATCCTCCTTAAACTCTTCATACACCCTCTTTTCTTCCGTATCTATCTCAACAGCTTCTGGGGTTAGCCTAAACCAAGGCAGATTGTACTGGGGACCAGTAAACTCCTCAAAAACTGATGGGTATAGCCTCAAGAACCTCGCAACCTTTATGGGTATGCCCAATTCTAATCCTCTCTTTGAAACATCGGAGATGGGAATGCAGCCATTGGGGCCTTGGGTTATGCAGTTTTTCAAGGAAACTATGCGCTTAAGTTCGATGGACTGGTGGATATACTCAATCGAGTCATAGTAAGAGTCCTTTTTCCATTTCATATACACATCAACGTAGCAGCATATCTGAGTGTACACACAAGGAGGGCTTTGGCTTTGGCTTTGGCTTTGGCTTTGGCTTCGGCTTCGGCTTCGGCACAACGAGGAGAATATCGGACTTTGAAAACCAGAACACCGCAACAGGTTCTTCAGAGTTCCAGAGCCATACCTCTTGCACAACATTGTCGACAGAGATAAAGCCGGAGGTGTGAATCAGGCGTGATCACACAACGGGGTGAAGACCCAAGTCACGAGCACTTCGAGACGATGTCTCCACAAGAGCTGAAGAATGGGAGGTCGGTGTTGTTGCAAGTAAAGGAGGCATTTTTACAAACGCTTGAGGAGCATCGAGGATGGTCGAGCAAATACTTGCGAGATCAAAGCTGCAGAAAGCGAAGGCTGCGGATGCGATAGACGAGGAGACACGGGGAGGGCGCTTTATTGCCCTAATGTAATGGGTATTTTGTCCAAAAAAAAATAATGGGTTGATACAGTGAAAAATTAAAGTGATACACATGTGATAAATTTATCTCAAACTAAATTCAAATTGCTTCACTCACAAAATATTTACCCTCCGTTAACTTCTATCAAATTTTACCTAGAAAATACTAAGCTGGATAACACTTATGGCAAGTCCACATAGAAATCCATATCGGTTTGGGTTAAATTAGTCATAGGTGTACCAGTTTTGGGTTTTTGATGATCCAAAAATTAGTTTATGGTAAATTTATCACCGGTGTACCAATTTGATAATCCAAAAATTAGTTTTGGTAAATTTGTCACCTTAGTTTAGGGTTTTCTGTGATATTAACCCTAATATAATTGTCACATAACCTGTAGTATTCTGCTAAGGGTTAATATCATGAAAAACTCTAAATTGACACATCTGTGATAAATTTACCCAAAATTATTTTTTTTTACCACAAAAAACCCCAAACTGGTACACCTGTGACAATTTTATCCCGAACTAATTTTTTGACCACCAAAAACCCCAAACTGATACACCTGTGACAATTTTATCCCGAACTAATTTTTTGACCACCAAAAACCCAAAACTAGTACACCTGTGATAATTTTATCCCGAACTAATTTTTTGACCACCAAAAACCCCAAACTGGTATACTTGTGACAAATTTACCCTCCATTAGTTTTCATTAAATTTTACTGTTAAATTGCTAAGTTTGATGACACGTGATAGTTAACGAGTGAACTAGTTTGGGGTTTTACCCCTTTGTTTATCAGAAGTTTACCAATTTGTGATTTTTTGTGATGATAATCTAATTTAGCGGACACTAACGGAGGATAAATTTATCACAAATATATCGGGTTTGGGTTTTTAGTAGTTAAAAAATTAGTTTGGAGCAAAATTATTACAGGTGAATCAATTTGGGATTTTTGGTGGTTAAAAATTAGTTCGGGATAAAATTGTCATAGGTGCAGGTTGGGGTTTTGTTATCAAAAAATAGTTCGGGCAAAATTGTCATAAGTGTACGTTGGGATTTTTGTGGTATTAACCCTTATACTAATCATTATTATAAGTATGTTATTGTTACTGTTGTCAATATCATAATATTTTGATAGATATGTTTTCTTGAGAGAAAATTTCAGGTAAGTCATAAAAGGAAAGTGGGGTTTTTATTATCAAAAAAAATAGTTTTCCTTTGGGGGGCGAGTAAATTTGTCAGAGATGTATTAATTTGGGGTTTTTGGTGATCAAAAAATTAGTTCGGCTCGCGGCAAAATCGTGTCATAAGTGAAAAGAAAGGAAAAAAAAAATAAAAAATTAAAGTTTTGTTGGGATTTTTGTGGTGATTAATCCTTATATTAATCATTATTATAAGTATGTTATTGTTACTATTGTCAATATCATAATATTTTGATAGATATGTTTTCTTGATGTGTATAATATAATAGTTAACAAGAATTGACTTAATTAAATAAATATAAAAAAAACTATCTTTTTTTCTCAATTTTAGATTTCTTAAATCACTGTTCCTTTCTTTTTCTCATACCCACTCATTTCTTAAATGACCATATTTTTTTTCCTCTCGTTTTACTTTTAGATTTTCTAAGATACCCTTACTTTCTCGCATATTACTTTATTCATAGCAATATAAAAGAATCTTAATAATTATAATTAGGGAAAATTCCAAAAAGGAGCCCGAAATGGAATCATTTTCTCAAATAAGAGTCTGAAGTAGATATCGTCTCACATAAGGGCTTGAAGTGGCCAAATCGTCTCAAATAAGGACCTTTGGGCGATCGGTGACTATTCCGTCGCCGGAGAAGGGATATTTTAGTAAAAAAAAAAGTATAAGTATTTTTTTTACTTTCTTTTTCTTTTCCTTTTCTTTTTTTTGTTCCCTTTTTTCTTCTTCCCCAGCGGTCACTGCGCCTGGTCAGCGACGGCCTCAGGCGAGGGCTGCCCTTACCGGCGTCGGGCAAGGGACGTCCAACCCGCGTTGGGCGAGGGTCGCCCTCACCTGTGCTGGGCAAGGGTCGCCTCGCCTGAATTGGGCGGGCGAGGGTGACCCTCGCCGCCATCGGGCGAGGGACGCCCAGCCCGCGTCGGGCAAGGCTCACCCTCGCTTGCGTTGGGCAAGGGACGCCTCGCCTGCGTTGGGCAAGGGTCACCACGAGGGAAACCCTCCCTAGGCCAGGCGAGGGCAGCCTCCGCCGGCCCCGGCAATGGCCGACGGAGGGAAGAGAGGAAAAAAAAAAAGAAAAGGAAAAGAAAAAAAAAAAAAACAAGAAAAAAAAAAAAAATTTCAAAAAAAAAAAGGACGAAAATATCCTTTAGCCGGTGAGGTCGGTCTTTATTTAAACGATATGGCCACCTCGTGCCTTATTTGAGACAAGATTCACTTCATGCTTTTATTTGAGAAAATGAGGACATTTCATGTCGTTATTTGAGACAAGATCCACTTCATGTCGTTATTTGAGAAAATGACTCCACTTCGGGCTCCTTTTTGAAATTTTCCCTTTATAATTATATACAATTGGGAAGTTTTATACGGAAATTGGGGAAAGAGAGAGACAGTCAATGGCTTTGGCGTTGAGGACACATAGGCGGGGACTAGGGATTATTTTTGTACAATTTCCAGCAGTTTCTTCAATTGATAGAGGTTGTACGCAATGTGCACAAAGTCATAGGTTTAGAGATACTTATTTAATCCCTATTATAATTTGACAGTAGTATCTTCTTATTATAATATATTGACATGATTAATGACATATTGCGTAAGTATATATTGACAGAAATATGAATTTACATATATTATACTCTCATAATTTTCATTTTTGTGATATGATATAAGTCAAGAGGGAGAAGAGATTGTTTTCCTATTTTAGAAAGACAGGTACCATTCATATGAATAAAATGTAAAATAATCATAATAACGAATATTTACGTGGATGAGTTCCATGTAAAAGAATTCAATGATGTATTAGACTCATGACTAGCTACTAAAGGCGCGTTTGGTAACGTTTGTTTTGAAGGACAATTTCTTTCAGAAATAGTTTTTCTATTTCTATTTCTTGGATGAGTTTTTAGCAAAAGAATGCGTTTGGTAACGCACAAAATTTCTATTCCGGAATAGAAAAAGAACAGAAATGCGTTTGATACAACCAAAAAAATTTCTATTCCCAATTTTTGCATTCAAATCTATATCTTTTATTTAACTATAAGTACAAGTTATAAGTGAAAAAACCAATAAGCATGGTTTATTGGTTTGTCTAATCCTTTTAGGGGTTAAAACCCTTTTAATCCCTAAACTAAGGAATCTTCAAAAATACCACTTGGGCACCTAAAAAATTAAAATTTCACTCAAAGTGGGTGGCCACGGGTATTCTAAGCCATTTTGTGATTTTTTTTTTTTTTTTTTTGGGGTAAAATTTATTAAAATTTTTTACTTTCCCTAAATTTGCTTCTTTTTTATTTTCCAGAAACTTTTTTATGAAATTTTTTTAAATTTTTTCAATTTCGGAATTTTGCAAATTTTTATGGGTTTTCTGAGTTTTTCTTATTTTTATGGATTTTCTGAGAATTTTTCTGATTTTTATGATTTTTTGGAATTTTTTAATTTTCTAATTTTTTTAGGGATTTTTCTGAAATTTTTCTAATTTTTATGAATTTTCAGAATTTTTTAATTTATTCTAAGACAATTTGTGAATTTTTTATTTTATATTTTTTTTGGGGAAAAGTTTATTAAAATTTTTTACTTTCCCAAAATCTGTCTCTTTTTATTTTCCAGAAACTTTTTTATGAATTTTTTAAATTTTTTCAATTTCAGAATTTTGCAAATTTTTATGGGTTTTCTGAGTTTTCCTGATTTTTATGGATTTTCTGAGAATTTTTCTGATTTTTATGAATTTTGGGAATTTTGCGATTTTTTTAATTTTTTTTATGAATTTTTTTTATTATTCCTGGAATGGACCGGATATTGGTCAACGACACGGAGGATGGAGGAGGAGCGCGGCGAGGACCGGACCTTATTTCTTTTTTTGTTTGTGAAAAATAAAATCGTTCAAACAGACTAGTTTTTTGTTCAGAAAAGATAAATAAGAGTAAACGTTCAACGCTAACGACGTCTATTTTTATTTTGTGTAATTCACTTCAGAAATTGAATACTTATGGTGCATCAAAGCGCCTTTGCTTTATCCATACAGTACAGCGTACCTATCAAAGAATCCAAGGCTAGCCAAAGAAAACTTGGCCCTCCCCGAGAGAATGACCCGTTCTGACCTACTGAATAAATTAATTGATATGTAAGTAATAGATCAAACCATTCTAGAAACTCTTGATCTTATGCTAAGCATTTCTGATGTCATTTCTTACTTATTATACATGCAATTCGCAAACCAAACAATGCAAAATAAGTATTATTTTACTTAACCAAATAGTATAATATGCACTACATTATTTAACCTAAATAGAGTAAAAGCCATTAGAACTCTATAGTATTACACTATAATACCTATGACATTACAACATTATTTTAACAATTAATCGTACGGCAAGTAATACATACATTAAAATAAATATACTGGGATCCACGTAAAATCTACATGAAAGTAGTTGATGATTATTGATGCTTTTTTTTTTCTTTATCAATCATAGATCAATATACTCTTGGTAACTCAAAGATGTCAAACTGTGCAGAGTTCTCACCACATTGTACAATCCTAAAGAGTCTTTGCTTACTTAAAACATCTTTAACGAAATTTGCTCACTCAATCATTGGAAAGCCAATTTCAATCACAATGGAATGCATTGTCAGTTTATTTTTGTACATGTAATCCAGGTCGAAAGCTCCAATTCCAGTTGTGCATTAACAAGTTTGCAGTCATGAAGGAGAGATAGGATGATAATTGATGGCGAGACTACTCAAAAGAAAATACCCAAGCAAATGAAAGAATGAAAAATGCCACAAATGGTTTTTGAACTTTGGCCAATGCGTAATGTAGCCTTTAAATTTTTAATTTGTTCAATGTGATTTCTGAACTTTCAATTTATTCAATGTGATTTATGAACTTTTGGTACATGTTCCAACTAATCCCTGGACTATGTAAAAATGTTCAATGTTGTCTTTCCATTAATTTAAGTTCAGGGATAACATTGAACATTTTCATATAGTCCAGTGACTAGTTAGAACATGTACCAAAAGTCCAGGAACCACATTGAACAAATTAAAATATAAAAACCACATTACACATTAAGCTGAAGTTCAGAAATCACATTAAACAAATTTAAAATTCAAAAATCAAATTATACATTTATCCAAAATTCAGAGATCTCGTGTTACTATCCCATAAAAGAATGATGGATGAATGAGGGAAAAGTGAATGGTGTTAAAGGGGGAAGGAATCCCTCTAAACTTGTTATCTTGGTTTCCCCTTTCAGACTCCGGACTACACGCGGTGACGCCCCGATCATCGAAACAGGGACGTGCCCAAATTCCTAAAACCCCAAAACTTTAAACTTGTACCAGAGGAGTTTCGACCTGCCATCAACGATTCTCATGACTCTAGCCGAAATTTTTTTCTCATTCACCAAGAGACGTTTTATGCGAAACAAATGCAAAGTCCGGCGATCCAAAGCCTGTGAAAAGACCAAAAGCTAGCACAAGAGAATGCCTACAAAACCTGTTATAATTTGTACAAATAATGAACCAATCAATCAATGAGAATCTGAACCCCTCTCCCACTATTTACAAAAGATGAAATACAAGGTGATCAACAAAAGTCTGAGGGCTCGGAGGAAAAATATGTACAGAGAGAAAGAAACTGAGAGAAGGCTGTCGTCACTAGCTAAAATCCTATATGCAACATCATCACCCCGGGGCTATACATGGATGCACAAGACACAGCATAGCCATCACAATGGACCTCCGAAGACAAAGCATGGAGAATGTTATAGAGCTCCAATTGACAAAACATTAAGTGACAATCCAAGAATGATGAGGACGGTCGAGCATAATTTCAGAACACCCACCACCACTTCTTCTTTTTATGGTCTGAAAGTTCAGGCAGCTCTGCAAACCATCGAAAAGCAGAAGCAAAATATAGAGTCATATCACAACATAAGAAGACCAATAACCAAACTATCTATTTCATTTTGTTTTCCTCTCTCTTTTCCAAACCAAGTAATTCCATAACTATCGAGGTAAAGCTGATGTTAAAATAGATCCCCGACAGCAGCACATATAAGAGCAAAGGATCGAAAAAAGTAGAGATACTTGATCGGAACATGAATGAGCAGATCAGATGAGATATCACTTACATCTATGTTAGCACCACTACAGCTCCCCAATTAACCATATCAGAGTTTTAAGGAATATCCACAGGAAATCAACAGGCCAACTGGACTACAGTCGCCACACACTTGGTACCGCTTAATTGCATCAAGAATAGAGTGGCCAACTAGGAAAAATAAAGTTTGTAGGTGGAAACAGCAGTGGCTTCTATTAGAGAGCGTTAACAAGAAGAAAATCATGTGACATACAAAAAGGACAAGCACATATGAAAGATAAGCGAAGATCATGGGGGGTTCAATGACCCTTCCACATAATTATGAAGAACACCTACAGCTTTTTGCTTTCTAGCCTTTGCAAGTTTGAAAAGCTACACTTGATAACATTACCATGACAACCCTTAGTCAGCTTTTTAAATCCACGGCCTGAATTTCAATGGAATAGCACTATGGTTGAAAGCAACTATCGCTAACAAGAAAACCATTCTATAAGCAGACCAGCTTGGCCTAATAAAACTACATACCCTTGCTGGAAAAAAAATGTATTTGTTCAGACAAATTGCAATGTCAAAGGTTTAGGCTATAATGTGGCTATGCCTTGACCGTTGATTGCAATATTTAGGGCATATACTGGCCACCAGGCATGATGAAATTTCAACACTAGAAGCTACTAGGCCAAAGTGGGCCCAAGGATCTGATTTCACTCGCACAATTCTTCCAAGTTCCAGAAGATCAAGGAGCTTTGGTTCGATAATTTATTAAGTGCTTCTCAACTCAATAATATGACGTTGCACATAAAGCTAACACGATGCATTTGTTGTAATCTCACTTCTCCACTAGCAACCACAAAGCTCTAGATTCAAATTTGAAGCGAGATGTTCATCAAGATTGATAAATTGGATCATATCAGCTAGAAGATGTTCTAGGAGCAACTGAAAGGTCGCCCGCGTCCATTAAAAGAAGAATTTGACAAGCTGAAAAATGCCTCCTCTCAGTTTGGCTCTTGTAGAAGGCTTAAAATTAGAGACAAGCTAATGAAAGAACAGACTACATAATTTATACAGCACTTGACGAACATATGTATAAGTAGAAAGTGAAAGAGGGAATATCTGGGATTAAAGACAAAATCAGAAAAAGAAAGCTTGTTGACATGAAAAATTAGTCACTCAAAACCATATGAATGTATCACAACTTCTTTTGGCAACACCAAGACGCGCAAAATTAGTCACTTAAAATATATACAGAGCACGCCTTTTCCAGGCTACAAAAGCACGAAGACTAACCTCCTTCAGGATAAATTGAGTTGTAGTGCACCTCTGCCCAGAAACTCAAGAAAATGACTGGAAGTAAAACAGAAATTGTAAGTTTATGGATCATCTGGTTCCGTAAGCTAAAGAACAAAGCAGGATCCCGATACAGAAATTAATGCAATTTCGAGTTCCATTGATTCTGAGGATACTAAGCTTACAGCGTCATTTAACTAATATTCGATACTCAGAAGCACATATCCACTCAAATAATAAACAAGGAATACTTTTGACCCGAGAATTAATAAACAAAGAACAGTCAACCCAGAGATGCACTATCTAGCAACTCTGAATTGTGCATTCATGTACAAATCATTGGAACAACCACGATGTCTTTAGATACCCTCGAAACTTTGTCCTCCCGTTGCAACAGATTGCCAATAAAATGATGGAAGAGATGACAGTGTACCTATTAGACTCTATACAGCAAGAGGGGTATGAACAAATGGACAAGCTGGATACTTTATCCGTACAATCAGATCTACTCTACCAACCAGGGGAGTAGTGCACAAGTTGAATATTACCAAATGCAACTAGCATCATATTATGTGGAGACTTCCAAAATTACTAGGTAAACAAGTGGAATGAACTGAAACAGAACATCATCCGTGCAGAAATTAAGCGAACGAGACCATGTGGTCTACCTAAACTAAGCTTTACTCACCTATGTCCAAAACTGTTGCAAATTATATATAAATATCCGAGTGAAAAGTGGAGAACTGGGGAGACCATGTAAACAGCCAAAGAGAAAAGGTAAGGAGAGTCTGCTATTGAATGGAATGAATTTAGGACACCCACATGCTAATGGCCTCCGCAGATTACATCAAGAGTATTATGCAACGTATGTCCAGAGGTTTGGATGTTGACCAATCAGTAAGCAAAATTTCATGAACCATCCACCTTGCAGATTAACATTAAGGTCTTATATTCAGCTTTCCTTTAAAATATTGCAGTGCGACGCATAGAATCCTTTAAGCCATGGTATAGATCAAGAGGTACCATAACAATCATCTTTCATAATGACAATAAGTAAATAAAGAAAATATTACCTCGTTTAGACTTGGAAATATGTGGAAGGATCTCAATGTAGCACGTGTCCTTAAAAGAAGTGATCACCAAAATCCTGACTCCATACTGCAATTGAGCAAGAAGAATGCATTAATAATCTCTATCTACTGACAGAGAGGGAAAAGTCACTCAGGCTCCATTGATTTAACTAATCAAACCACCACAATGACAATGACAATCACAAGTTTATCCCATTAAGTGAGGTTCGAAAAGAAGATTTCACTACCAAACCTTTTCTTTTCCTTTTCCTTTTCCTTTTCAATGACACAAAGTATATCATCACTTTCCATATTCACATGTTTAGCACCACTATTTCATCAGCACCCCTTTTACTGGTCCAATAATGGTGGCTGCTAAACCGGAGAAGCCAATTGATGAGAGGTCAATCAGAGAGAAACTCTACCCCCACACAACCGGCCACACCATAAGTTATCATTACAAAGGTGTTTACCAAATGAAATGAAATACCATCCGCATAAAGCAAATGATGTTTTTGATTCTACATTCACCCTTGCAAACTTTTTAATCCATCTGTGATATATGATTTCTGAACTAACCTAACTCAATGTCATTTTTCATTCAACCCTTTATTACAAATACTTTGTCATGAAAACTATTACAAAGATTAAAAAAAATAGATTATGAACGAAGTATTCTTGTAGGAGAATAAGCAAATACCTCTGACAGTTACATCTTACTCATACATCAAGGATAATTAAACCACAACAGTCAACTGACACACATTTACTCATACATCAAGGATAATTAAACCACAACAGTCAACTGACACACATATTGTTATGGCTGATTTATCAATTAAGACAACACGAGGGCCATGTGAATAAGGTTGAATGGAAGTAGGAAAAAGGTCATAGATTATACGGAATCTGCAGCAGCTTGCAGTGTGACATGATCACCCCATTCTCCACTCCTAGTCAACCAAAACAAACAAAAGATAAATAAATAAAATTTATGTCAGCAAAGGATGAGAACAACCATATAAAAATGACTGCCTACTTGCTCATTCTCTGCAAATAGTCGCCGAAAGCCATTGGAACATAGCCATCATACATCTCTGGACACGACTTCAGCTGATTATATTAACAATCATAAAGCCAAAAGAAATAAACATCAGAATTATCGCAAAGAACATCAGTTTAAATCCCCACCACAGCTGTGCACTACCTGTTGAACAATTTGCTGCCTCACAAATCTGTGGTGCTCAGGTGATCGATATAGTTGGTCTGATAAGGCACGAAACTGATAAAAAGTTCGAGTAATGAGTGTCTCAACCACATATGTTGATAAAAGGACGTGGAAGCACCGCAAAAAAGGAAAACAGCCTCGATGGCCAGAAACAATTGACAACAGAAAGGAGAGAGATTGATGCATGGTCGAAACATGAGACAACACATAAAAAATTTAATCACCGTGACAAAATGAAAATGATGATACTTGATATATGAAACACATGATTCCATGAACTATGAAAGTTTTAGTGTGTTAACCAACCTGGCAGTTACCATCTCCCTGGATTTTATTTTCAACAAGATCGTATATCTGTAACCTGCAACAGATAAAAAGATTAAACAGCATGTAAGTCCGCATGGTATCAAGTGGTTGGGGCAGTTAGCTCCCCTAAATTCAGTATAACTAGAAGACAGCAATACAGCTCAAGCTTTCGAAGTATTTGTCATGCCCCAATCATAATTTTAAGAAGCAGAAACAAAATAAACTGAAGTCCAACTTCTTTTCCCAATTTGCACAACTTAGAAAGAAAACGTAATCGATCATACATATATAGTGAAGATGGAGATAACACACATAAATAAGACCTACATGGCATACTTACTAATGTAAGTGCCAAAGCACTATCCTAATCATTGAAACCAACTGATAGATTTATTTTTCAAATAATTTTCACCTACTGTAGAAATTTTCTAGATCCATCCTACCTAAATACCAGACCAGTTTGCTTGATAAAACCACCAAATGATCTTCTCTGTTTTGCCTTAAGAGTATTTGATCCTCAGAGAGAACCATCCACTTGACATTTAAATATCACATCATCCAACAAAAGTTAGATATGAACAAGACCTGTCTAGCTTTAGTCCAGAAATAAAAAAAATAAGAAAGAACAAAACCTGTCTAGCAGCCTTTGATGATCCGACACCTCTTCTTCTACAGAAGGTATTTCACCATTAATTTTAGGCACATGCTGCAAAAAGAATCAGAGGAATCATGAACAGAAACATTTCAATTACAAGGAGATGGGAAAGTACAACATATTTAATCAAATTTGCTGGCACAGTGATGTCGATGTTCTGTTAACCATTAAAAAACAAACCGCAAGCTAGGTTTTACATCCATAACCACATCGTAAAATTGTCAAGACCAGAAAGCATCAAGTCTTGCCAATTGAACTTTTTCTGCACAAAGGCTCAGAGTGCGGTCAAAGATATTCCTGGCATCAGCATTTAACCGGTCACTGCAACTCGTAATTTTGGCCATTCACTGGAGTGATCAATCTTGGACAATGGAGCAATCATTCATCCTATGTATTGATTGGTTCTAGTGCATGATAGAGAAGTGACATTCCAAATCACCATACTGACGGTCTTAAAAATGATTAGATAATAGGTCTTCTTGGCCAAGTTAAATAACAGCTTGAGGTTGCTGAAATCACAGGATTTTGACTGAGCAAGCATCTGACAATATAGCTCATTCATGGGTTTCAAGTCCTTCAACACAGCCCTTATCCATAAGAAGAATAGATGCTAACCTCCTTAGACGATAACCTTGTCCACGGATGCTTAATTCATCAAAACTCTTAATCGTGCAAAACCCCAGACTGTGCCCTACATCCATGAGATGCATGGACAAATATTCTACACATGTTAAGGCAACTCTCGCTTAAAAACCCTGTTTCTAGTGGCAACTGGATAGAACTTCATTTAGTCTAGCAACATGCTATGAGTTAGAACATCGTCATTGTTTAGGAAGAGAAATGTACCAAATAATCTTTGTGCTCTAAACAATAAAAGGTGACAGTAAGCTCAGCACGGTGGAAACACTCACACGAACAGGGACCATCTGATTCAACCTCTTGCTAACTTCACCATCAAGCACAGATTCATCTGCCATGTGTAGCATATCCACATCATAATCAGACCCTGAGCTGGAACATGAATTAGCATTTCCCACCTCATCACGTGCTCCATCCTCTTTTCGATCTTCCAATCGTTGATCATTTTCCCATCCTGTGTGTTATGAAAAAACTCGAAACTAAGAAGGTCGCAACAAAGCCAATGGAGAAACACCCAGAAATTAACTCACCTTCAGCATCAGAGTATCTCTCCGAAGGAGCGAGCCAATCCTGGGTCAAAACCGAAGCTTGTAATTGTTCGATTCCAGAAGTTGACGCACCAGATGCTTCTTCAAGAGCGAGTCGTGAAAGTTCTTCTTGCAAAGCATGCGCAATCATCTCATCATTCTCCACACTTGGTTGTTCTGCTTCAACGTAGCCTGGTTGATCTGCTTCGACGTAGCCTTCTCTCACGTGTTCGACACTACTCAAGTCTGGATCATATTGAGTTACACAGCCACATGAACCGGCATTGGAAATAGAGCAAACATCCAGAAGTTGATGGAGGCCCCAGCGTACAAGATTGGGATCTTGGTCGTGCATGGTCATGTTATCCAGTGCAATGTACAACCGACTCGACGAAATAGAGAAAAACAAAAGATCTGGATGACAAAAACGAGGAATCTTATTATATCAAAAGCCGTACCATCAACGATCAATCCTATGCATTCAGGCAAAGAAGATTCTTTCTCTTGGCAAAAAAGTTAATAAAATCGGGACCATATCTGGTAATTACTCATATAAAGAAACTCATAAGACAAATTACTTTGTAAAATTAAAAGAACCGTACCCACTCAAATTGCCCAGATGCGAAATTGAAATTAGATGTTCAGATAACACAGCCATCACGCGATCTCAATTGCAAATAATTTGAAGAAGCAGGCGGCTACCAACGCTCAAGTATGGACATGGACAAAAAAGAAAAGTCGATAATAACACAAAAACTGTCGTTCTCATTCGTAGCTTCGACAACTTACCAACCCATTTATGATCATCAATGAAGCAAAGGCAAAGAAAGCGTGGAAATGAATAGGTTCGACAAAGAGACAAGAAACGACGCTGACACAATTAAAAAAAGAACCAGAACATCCGATGATCCGATAATTAGGAACCAAATTATCGGCCAGAGCCCCCCATCTCCAAAAAAAAAACAGAGCTGTTCTTCCCAAAACCCACTTCCTTAAACGCCGAGATGAAACCCAAATCGCCAACACAAGAACAAACCAACACGCCAAACAGGGAGCAAACGACAAGTAATCAAAAGAAAGATAGCAACTTTTTGCATTCCCAGGAAAAGGGTAAAGCTCAGAGGGCGGAGAAACATCATACCTTGGAATCAAACACAAAGTATGGAACCCAGAATTAAAACTTTCCCAGCTTGAAAAAAACCAAAGATCTTCTCCTTTTCTTGCACAGGCGCAAGCATCCGCTCGTCCTCCACCTTGCGTACCTTTTCCTTCTTCCCTTTTTTGTCGCCTCCCGTGGTTTTATGGGTGGGGTTTCACTGCAGCACACGTAACGAATCGCCGAAAGTCGGGGGAAAGAAAGGATCGTGGCGCGGGTGTTCAGGCCGTGATTTTGTTGAAAATCTTCTTGGCGGATATCTTCCTATCCCGAGAGAGTTGAAATTTGTAGGCCCGCGCGTGTGAAACCGGGAACCGCCGCGGTCTGACGTGGGCTGGGGCGCGGGGGGGCAGCACCGGCAACCGGGACAGGCGGTGCCTCGGCGGCTGTGCGCCTTCCCTTTTGCCTTCCGCTTTCCCGGTTGGGATCGGGTGCGTCGCATGGTCGGCTCTTGGGACGTGGACCCCCCCTGTTCGGAGCTTTTGACATCGTATTCTATCACGCTTTAAAAAGACAATAAAGTTAATTTCACGAAAAATCCCGAATTGATACGCCTGTGATAATTTTATTCTAAATTAATTTTTTTAACCATTAAAAATTTCAAACTGATACATCCGTGACAAATTCACTCTCGATTTGTTTCCGTTAAATTTTATCACAAATTTCTTTAGATATAAATGACACGTGTGGTGGCCCGATGTTTTATGTTTTACTTTCCGTTTGTCACGGAGATGTGAATGGATGTATCGAACCGAAACAGAATGATCACGTACAGAATAAGAGAAAATAGACGATGCACGAATTTACCCAAGTTCACCCTCGAATAGGGCTACGTCCTGCAAAGAGATTTCATTATATTTTTTAAGTTTACAGCCATTCAACTCGTTATAATGATCGAAAAACGAGCAAAATATATATGTGCCCCAAACGGCCTAAAACCTAAACCTATACGAAATATCTTAATCTCGCACCATACGCCAACTTAAATAAAAGCCCAAACCCGTTGAGGTTCAGTGGGCGCCGCCCCGAGCCCCCACTCGCTCACCTCGCGAGCGGAACCCTCGCGGGGCGCGCCCTGAACTCCCGCTCATGACTCAGGCTGGACACCCAGATGGGGCGTCGCCCAAACCCCGCATTCCGCACGCGGGTCACATGTCGGATAACACTTCAGCTTCCTAAGCTCACGTGGGCGTACCCGTGTGAAAAACAAGGGTCCCCGAAGTATTCGCCAACTCCAACAAGATGTACCAATTTGTGATTTTTTGTGATATTAATCCAATTTGATAAAAACTAACGGAGGGTAAATTTGTCACAAATATACCAGTTTGAGATTTTTAGTTATCAAAAAATTAGTTTTGGATAAATTTGTCATAGGTATACCAGTTTGGGGTTTTTGGTGATCAAAAAATTAATTTGGAGTAAAATTAACACAAGTGTACCCGTTTAGATTTTTCGTGGTATTAACCCAAAACAATATTGCATCTTTCAACGTTGTCAAGATATGTATGACCAAAAAAAAATAAACCATATGTATAATTAATGTTTTGAAAATTGAATACTTCATCGTTAAGTATATTTAACAAGTATTCCAAACACCCTTTGACGAGACCTGTATAGATATAAGCAACTTTGGAGCCACGACAGGTGTGAATAGCTTATGGTACTCTCGGGCGATTAAATGTTAGGTTCTTTTTTAACGAGAGTTAATTAGAATGAGAATCGTGCGGCTCGAGGTACAAATTGAGCGGATAGAAAAAAAAACACGTTTCGATATTTCCGCTGAACTTCATGAGAGTTAATATCGGCCTTGAAACTTTTGCCCAGTTGTATTTCGATTTTTTCCTTTTGTTAATGCAATTTGGAATTGCGCAGATTGCTCGTTCCTGGAAAAACGCGAGATTTTTCCACGTGGCACTTTTTAATCAGTATTAACAAACACATAAGCTTCATTTTAGCGAAATTAGAGCATAGGAGAGACTTGTTTGAGAATTTTTTTTTTTTTGGTTGTTTGGGAAACTTCGTCTTTAAGGACTTAGATTGCATAAATTAATAGTTCAAGATCCATATTAGAAAAAAAGGGTACAAGTTGAATGACAATATATGTATTTATTCGACTCCATGGTAATGAAAAGATTTTCTTCTTGTGCTACATGCAATTAGTATATTAAAAATCGAATTTATTCCTTATTAAATATACTTTGAACGTGTTCTGGGGCACTCGATAGCGAGATCTTTGTACTCACGCGGAGATAAATTTTATAGTCGCGGAGAACCTCTAGAAGATCATGAATTTTTGGCAAATAATAATCCATTAATTTTGGCATGGAGATGTCAGAGAGTGGCCGGCGTGTCCTCATTCTAGCTATGCCATAAAGAATCGAGCACAGGAATTTTCAAATGGCAGACATTTTCGAATGTTTTCTTAGGAGCATTCACATTTGCACCAAACCTATTCTGCAACTGCAACCTGAAATCGTTTTCATATTCCATCTTTGGCTTCCTTAAACCTCAAACAACTACTTCCATGTTCTTAAATCTTTTCCCATCGAAAAGGTCAAAACTAGGGTATTGCTGCATAGTGATTAGGAACCAGTGAGAACTGGTCCAGTTCCAGGTTCCGAATGAAAAACCACTCGGGAACCGGGCCGAATTTGGAATCGGACTCATAAAGCTTAAAAACCTAGTTTTCCTATTGGCATCTTATTCTCTCTCTCTCGCATTTTCTCTATTCTCTCTAACATCACTTAGACACTTCACGACTCTCTCTCACTCGCTCCCTCCTGATTCGCCTTTGCTCGCTCGCCCTCATTCATCTTTTACTTTGAACTGGTTTGTTGCTCATGTCATTTTTGTTGTAAAAAATGAAACAAAAAGGAACAAAAGAAAAACAGACTCTTAGATAGACCCTAGAATCGGTATTCTTAGATAGACCCTGGAATCGGACCGAAAAAACAAAGTTCTAGGATCGGTTTTACGACAAACATAGTAGGTTCCAAGTTTTAAAAACTGAAAATCAATTTTAACAGAGTAGATTACAAGTTCCAAATCTAAAACTTATCGACCCTGAAATCGATCATTCATAATGATGATTATAGAGCTAATACGTCATCTTGTTGTTGCACACAGCAAAGGTCATGTCATATGTGATTTTTAAGGTTACCCGTATGGAATGTGATTTTAGGGCTAATATGTCATCTCTTCTCTGCGGACGGCGAAGGCCGTAGGATTTGTGATTTTAACCATCAAAGTAATCGGTCTAGCCGGATAAGTGACTTTGCTCGACAGCTAAATAAACATTAGCCACTCTCTAAAGTTTTAAGGTTTTTGAATAACCTCAGTGCATTTCGAGCCCCTCTAATGAAGAATATAAGAAAAATAATGTCTATTATACAAGCTTATATGATTTGGAAGAGTTAAAAAAATTTGGGATTTGATCAGGCCTTGGCAATTCCATAAGTTCCTAAAAAACAAAGAAAAAAAAATAGAGAAGAAATGGACTGAAATACGAGCTAAATCTTGTCCTAGTGAAGGTTGATATCTTAATTATCTATTATGCTTAAAGTAGGAGAAAAAAGTATCAAAAAAGTCCTAAACCTATTGCATTGGTACCAATTTAGTTCTAAACATTTCAATTTGCGACCAACTTAGTCCTAAACCTTTACATATTGATACTAATTCAGTCTATCCGATCAATTTAGGTTGAAAATTGTCTACATGGACACCAGGCGTCCTACGTGGCACCACTGATGCTAAAGTGAACATTTTTTAATAATTTTTTTGAATTTTTTTTTCTTTTTCTTCCATGACCTGTGTTGACTACCGACAAGGGCTAGCCTTGCCCAAGCGAGGGTCGCCTCAGCTGCCACAGGCGAGGGTCGGCCTCACTTGGGCAAGGGTGAGGGCCGACGAGGGCTGGCCTCGCCTAATAGGCGAGGCCAGCCCTCGTCGGCCATGGAAAAAAAGGAAAGAAAAAAATTCAAAAAAATTATTAAAAAATATCAGTAAGACAACCGGCATCCACGTCGGCCATGGAAAAAAAGGAAAGAAAAAAATTCAAAAAAATTATTAAAAAATATCAGTAAGACAACCGGCATCCACGTCGGCAGTTTTTGACCTAAATTGGCCGGATGGACTCAATTGGTACAATTGTGAAAAGTTCTAAGGCTAAATTGGTCCAATTAAAACGTTTATGATTGAATTGGCACCAGTGCAATAGTTTTAAGACTTTTCTGGAACTTTTCTCCTTAGAGTAAATTAGCAAGCATGATCTAATCCATTGACTATATATTATTATTATTGAATGCGCTCGTCGACACGATGTCCGAGCTGGTCATAGGCGCTTTACACGAACGTGACTAGAACTACCACTGTTAATGCTTTATCTTTCCTCAATCTTAGGTAGAACAGGTACACCAAAACACGGTTCTTGCTGCTCATTTCTAAATGATAATTGTGGTCACGGGTCAGTGTTGAAACCCTCTCTCTTTTGGTAATCTTTATCATATTTCCAGATTATTTTCTCTTGATTCAGAACTTATACAATTACGACTTGGCACTATCCATATCTGAATAGGCATCTTATGGCTTCTTGGCTTAAGAGGAATATGTGTTCCTTTTAGCAAATATAGTTTTCAATCAAACTAAATTCGTAGAGAAATACCACCTTCTTGAGGCCTAATTCCCAAAAAAAAGTATCAACTTTACCTTGAGTAACAATTCTGGGCCGAACCATTTTTCTGTCTCATAAAAAATCAACTTTTACTTAAATCCCAAATCTGACCCAAACAATTTGAAAATTTCATATCACGAGAGCTAGATTTGAGACTCGAGTTGGTGCTTTTTATTGAAACAAAAAAAAGTACACAGGGTAAAGTTGATGCTTTTTTTTTGGAATTAGCCCACCTTCTTGAGGTGAAGCATCTGAATAGATATAACTAGTTCTCATGAACACGTTCCGCATGTATGCAATTACTCTCGAGATGATAATACTAAATTTATTTAGGGACAACATCGACGCTTGTTAAATCCGAGACAAAATGGTGTTTTGGCTTATAAATATGGTTTTAGCCAATGGATATAATCTTCCAGTGGAATAATGAGACAACCCAAGGGAAAAGAAGTGAATTCTCCATGCAAACTCTCTATTCATACAAGTATTAGGCTTCTATAGAATGGAACAGCTGCTGAAAGAGATGGAGAATGAGCTAATCTAAGAAGACAAAAACAATGTGAACAAGCAAAACATGATAGGTTGATAGCCTTCAGGTCATCAGTCTATCTGAATCTTAATGGGCACCAGTCCTTTCAACCTCAAAAACTCCTCATGCTTGTTTAGATTGAGTTGCTTAACAATAATTGAATAATTGCAGTTGTATAAACCCAAATGTTGCATTCACTCGGCCGTGTTAACATTTCTACACTTGCAATACTTCTGTAAAATGCACACAAAACAGGATAATATACATGTTGTGTAGAACCTCAAAAATAGCCAAAGGTTGCAGAGAAAACCTTACAACAGTTAATTACCTCATCCTAAGTGACCGAACAAGAAGACGAATACCTTTGCTTCGCCTCCTCATTTTAGCACGTCTTCACGAGTCTCGGTCTCCATGTCCAACAAACCCACCACCCCATCTCTCCAGTTATCGAATCCACAAACCTCCTCTTAAATCGCTCTTTTCTCGATTTTTCCAGCTCGTCGTTCGTTGCTACGACTTTCAATGGGGCTTTGGGACTTCCGGTTTCCATTGCTTCCACAATTCGGTTCACCATCGCTAAGACTTCACTCATCTTGGGCCGTGCCTTGGGATGCCGTACAAGGCACCGATTAGCCACAGAGGCTAGCCTTTGGGCGGACCTAAGAGAGTACTTGCCTTCAAGCCGTGGGTCAAGGATGGTTTGGAACTTCTTCATATCAGATAGATTTGGCTTGACCCATTCAAGAAGCTTCTGCTCATTCTTTGGCCGGTTCCGTTCCAAAGGGCGGCGACCCGTGATGAGCTCGTAAAGAAAAATTCCATAGCTCCAGACATCACTTTTAGCCGTGAGGTGTCCAGTTTGGATGTACTCCGGAGCAGCATAACCAATCGTTCCGACCACCTGTTGCGATAGAGAAACATTGTTCTTTACTTCTTCCCTCAGAAAATACAGAATTGAAAGGAGAAACGGACTAGGCAAATCAGGAAATTATGTTCGGTTGCTGGAATAACTTTAAGGCATGAACAAAAACACAATTCTCGTGATTTGGATAAAAAGGCTATCCTCAATAAACTGACCAGAAAATTGAGTCTACTGTGGTCGGGATTTTTGGTCATAGATTGATAGGGTTCAACCATCTGACTGTCAGATGCATACACTATCAAATTGCGAAGAAAAAGTACATCTAACAGTAACAAATTAATTTTTGAACTTTTTCATTTCCATGTCTAAGTGAAACAAGGACGTTTCATAAAATTCAAGCATTGACATAGAATCAATATCAACGTACCAAGGTTGAGACATGACTTTCTCCACTGGAAGGCCCTAGCCTCGCTAATCCAAAATCTGATAGCTTGGCATTCCACTGGTCGTCCAAAAGAATGTTTGATGACTTGAAATCTCTGAAAATGATCTGTTACACAAACAGGTTTATAAGAGATGCAAAATTTAGTGAACAAATAAACGGAAAACAAAATTACTGCCAGGCACAAATAAAATATTTCATGAAAGGGAAAATTGCTAGAAAAGTTCTAAAACTCATTCTGGAATTTAAGTCGGTTTTGATTAGTCAGTTTGGTTCTCAAACTACTTGAGAGATGCAACGGGTCCTTCCATCAACTTAACTAAGTGAGAATCCTGTGGCAGGGAATTAATAAAAATCCGAAATCAAAGATTTAATCCTATTGCATCTCCAAGACTGATTGGTATTACATATATATCTGTTGCATTGCTCCCGAAATATGCTCTAACCTGGACCATCATGAATAAACAACTCTCTCCTTAAGAGAGGCCCACTCCATCTCTCTCTTCTACTTCCTCCTTGAACTTCACGTTCATTTGGTTCCTCCATAAAGCATTTATCAGCATCCAATGCAGACTTCTCAAATACTCTCCAAAAAATGGACTTGTTCATCTGATCGAGTTGTGTTGTGGTCCCTTTGTCTTTTAATTATCCTCGTTGATGCTCCACCTCTCACTTACTACCCATTCAAAATCTTGCCTTCAATATGATCCATCTAAAGCCCACCAAGCCAGTAACTGGATAGCCTACTTCTAGCTCTTCACAAAATACTTCCTCAGCCTTTGTAAACCAGGTTTCAGACCGGAAGACACCAAGTTTTTTTATCGCGTGAAGGATCACTGATTTCTCTGGTTCCCATTGAGTGGTGCTTCTCAATGGAAAATGATGCAGTATGAGCTAAACTCTATTGGAGGTATTCCCAACTTCACACATGAGGACTCAAAATATGCTGTGACAAAAAACGAGTAATGATTCTCTCAGGGCGAAGCACGTGTTATGTAAGTGTTTCCAAAGATAGTTGTAGAAAGAACATCAGGAGACACGGTCAAAAACAAAATATAGATATTAAAAGTCCACGTCTGCCAAAATTTATATTGCCAAAAAATTGAGGTGGTGGGAGAGCCAACCCTATACACTAGATTGTTTAATGTATTACAGAGTTTGGCCATTTTCGTCTTGATCATATGCCCAGGATTCAATGCTTTTATGATGCAATTTCTTGTTTCCTCCAGGCCTTGATAGGCCAATCTCCCCAGATCTGATAACCAAATTGCAGGTATCATTACTCTACCAATATTTATAGCACCTAGAAGTTTCAGAGGACAACTTCACTGGCAAAGCACAAATTCCCTGGCACAGATGCTCTCTTCCATTGCAGTAGGCCGTTTTTACATGAAATCCTTTTCTTTCAATAACACGCTTCGGTGCATTCCATCCAAACGTCACATCATAATTTAAATGAGAAGGTCTAAAGAAACTTAAAGAGACTTACCTGGAGATCCATTCCCTCATGGAGGTAGGTTAGCCCTCGTGCAGAATCCTGGGCGATCTTTACTCTCATGGTCCATGAAAGAGACGTCTGAAACCTGCTTGACAAGTGATCCTGCACACTGCGGTTCGGCATGTATTCATATACCAGTAGACGCTGAATGCCTCTCTCGTCATCTTCGGCACAATAGCCTAGTAATTTCACCAGATTTGGATGCTCAACGACGCCCAAAACATTTACTTCTGTAATCCATTCTTTATGACCCTGCAAGCAGAAGAGTGAAATGGGAATGAATGAAATTTCCAAGATGAGCAAGAGATTGAATCTCATCAGAATTTGTCAGATGATTTCCTATTTTGAATAAGGCACAACTTTTCTAATATAATCTGTTTTAAGTATCCCTACACATCACACAATCTTTAAGTTATCAGACAGTGCTAAAATTAAATATAGGGAAGTAATCCATGTTGCGTAGAGGTGAAACTTAAGAGAAAGCCTAAGTTGAGAATAACTCCCCTCGACCACATTTATTGAGAATAGATCATGTCCCAACATGTAAATAGTTTTTCTATAGCTTCTGCTAACTTTATGATTGTGAATTGTTCGGACAAAAGGTCATTTAAATAATGTTAACTGTCAGAAATTGTCAACTATAGTTCAGTCTTGAAGGATATTGGACAGAAATTTTAAGCCTAAAAATACAGAGGAATCACATAATACCATGATATGATACTCGACAAAATTCAAAAAAGACCTAGTAAAAAGAAACTCCGAAGCTTCAAATATGACCTAGCCTTTGAAGTAACTCCTAGTTTAGACATATTATGTTTCCATGGGCAATTTCTTCAAATTTCGCACGAACAACTTTATGCAAAGACAATACCAATCTGAAATTTCTGAAAGAATTTTACTTTTGCAAACTTGTTACTACAAGATGTTGCATGATATCATAAATACTGAACACATGATATCTCCGGTTAAAAAAAAAACCACTCTTACCTGCAGTCCTCTTCTGCTTAACTGTTTGACAGCAATATCAATCTTCTTATGTGGATCATCAGTACTCCTCATTATACCCCGAAAAACGCCCCCAAATCCACCTTCTCCAATCATGAGGGAACGGCTGAAATTCTTCGTGGCTGCTTTCAACTCCTCGAATGTGAATTCTCTCAAATTACTCTGCCGTTGAGACAAAATTGCAAATGGGTTCATGGCATTCACAGACGATCCTGTGCTAAGATCAGGCTCATTCTGAGACGTGAGCTCAGACCAAGACGTTCTCATATCACGGTCTGTAGACATGGAAGTGGAGGTAGAGCGGACAGATATGGATTTGGTTGTTTTTGGTTCTCCATTTTTATCCCAAATTGTAAATGGAAAGCACTTCATAGTCTCCGCTGTCTGAGCCCTGCATTTCAATCATCAGTACAAGGAATATTAAACCTTTGAGTGAGCAAGGGTAATTAAACTTCTACATTTAACATGTCATTGTCAATTACCAGAAATCAACAGAATATGTGCATTAGTATTGCCGTAGTCCATCTGGAATGGGATCAAACATCAAGCCATAATTTTGCATCGACAATGTTCTCTTTTATCTCTTTTCAAACAAATGAAGGCACAGGTTTGAACAGATTGAGACACTTTTCGGAACACTCCTCCAAGATAAAACAAAGAAAAGCACCTTAGTCCAACAAGAAGGAAGTCAACTCACAATACCATAGATCATGGCCATGATCTCTTTCCACAACCCATGCTAGAATGAGTCCAACTTTAGAGGGAAAACAAGGATAACAACCGCAGATATGTAAAGCCTTATGAGGCACATAGAGACAGGGAAAAAAGTAAAATAAGAGAGAACATCTTCGTGATGAAACTAAATTATACTTAGGACACTGCACCCATATGGCGAAAATTCAGCTTCACAGCGTCTGAATTTCGCAAAACCAAATTCTTATTCATCTCAGCACAATATACTCCCCGAAATATGGACGAAAATATTTTCAACTGGTAGCTGAATTAATGGGATGACCCTAACCTTGGAATAATTGGTTCATCCTGGACAACTCCAGAAGAAACCCAGCAATGAATCATCATAGGTATCTCATTATACAGTCAAGACACTAAGCCAAAGTTCGAAATTCAGCCATATATAAACTTTGGACCATAAGAAACAAAAAAACTATCCACCTTCACACGATAGAAAGAAACTCAAGATAATTAGTCACCTCTGTTTTTACTGTTTTTTTTCCTCTGCTGAGCTCTGGATAACAGCTGGCTCCTCCAAACGTTTCCCTGCTGGTTCCTTCTCAGAATTCCCAGGAAAACCCAGAATCCATAATCCAAACTTGGGTCGAACTCAAGAAAACCCCAGAACCCAAAGAGAGGAAGGTAACCAAAATTTAAATTCTAGGGTATCACACGACACAACGAGCAACCCATGATCGAGGCGAAGTCAACACGAGGCAGCTGGAGCGCAGCTCACCAACCCGGGAGCCAAATGGGAGAAAAGAAAAGGAAGAAGATGGAGAGAGTTAAAAACACACGAGAAGGAATAAAGAAAAGCGTAGAAATGCAAAGAGCAAAAGGCGAAGGGAAGTCTCCTTACCAAAAAAAAAAAAAAAAAGGGCGAAGGGAAGTCATCTCTTGTCTTTCTTTTTAGTTGGAGATATTCAAAGAGGAAAATGAGTAGGAAGATGGATAGAGGTCGCTTTCGGCATATAAATTGCAGGAAAGACAACGAACGGGGAGGATGCTGTCAACTTGTCATCTTCCCTGAGCTTTCCCTTCCACAATGCACAGTTCCACGCAGTTTCAATTCATCCGTTCTTGTCTGCTTCTCAGATAACATTTGAATCTTTCAAAGGAGCTTCTTGTCAACCAGATGGCAACATCTGTAACGCAAAATTCATTAAGAAAAATTTTCACGATTTCTTATACAGTAATTCTCCTCGCATCATAGATAATTTGCTTAAGGAAGCTGCACCCATCAACATGATTCGACAATTCAATTCTAAACAGTAGCTGGCAGAGAGCTGTTTGATTCTGTGGGCGACCGTCTTTTTGCAGTGTTGTTCCCAAACTGGTGCGGGTCAGAAGGAATTTTTCCATTGATACATGATTGTCAGTTTGAAGTTCTTGGAATCGTTCAAAGCAGGAGAATATCCGCGGCGGAGACCTTGCTTTCCGTGTGATTTTTTTCATGGGATGGGACGGGACCATCCTTGTTATACCTTTTCTTGCTTTGACTCGATCAACATATAAATAAGCATCTTTTATTCTCTTTCGGGGAAAGTTCTAGTTCTCGTATCTATGCTTTCGCGATTTCTCCAATCAAGTACGTGTATTTTTAATTTATCTGAACAAGACCTTCTATTTTCAGAATTTTTCTAATTAAGTCCATCTGACATTGAAATTTGATTAAATTTAACTGACCTGACGATTAGAAGATGCAAGAGTATGAGATGTTCACGTGGACCTGTACATAAAAATTTAGCCAATGAAGTCATTGATTGAGTATGGTGTGGATAAAATTTAAGCGACGTGGATACCAATACGGATGTCACACTACAACATTATTTGCCGGCCATGTCGGTTGGATTTGATTGGATTTGGCATCAGACGAATTTGATTAGAAAATATGTGAAAGTCGAAGGAGTGAAAAGACAAATTAAAGTGTAACGACTTGATTAGAAAAAAGCATGAAAGTACAGAGACAAAAAGTGAGATTTTTGCCATCTTTTATCATCACTTTATACTCCAAAAGATAAATATACTAAAATGGTTAATACCACGAAAAATTTCAAGTTAGTAAACCTGTGACAAATTTACCAAAAATTAATTTTTTAATCACAAAAAGCCTAAAACTAGTACACCTAAGACAAATTTACTCTCAGTTTGTTTTCGTTAAATTTTACTGTTAAATTGCTTTGTTGAATGACACGTAGCAATCGACGAATGTACCGATTTTATGTTTTACTCTCTGTTTGTCATAGGTGTACCAGTTTATGATTTTTTTTTGTATTAATCCAATTTAACGGAAACTAACGGAGGGTAAATTTGTCACAAATGTATCATTTTGGGATTTTTCGTGGTCAAAAAATTAGTTACATCACTTACCCATCCTCAATTGTCCCTTCAAGCGACAAAAAGTTCTTTATTGTTTTACTTACAATCCAATTGTTCTCCAATGTTTTGATTTTAACTGAGGCTCGATTTGTATCGTGGAAAGCATTTTCCTCATTTTTCAGTGTTTGGTTCACTTAGGAAAATGAATTAACAGAAAATGTTTTATGAATCAATAGAAAATCCATGCTTAAATTTAAGGAAATAATATCCTCTTTGAAAAATAGGATAACATTTTCCAAGATATGACTAGGTATCAGCGTTTGAACCTGAAGCTCTACGCTTAGACATGAAAATCCCAACATTGGTTCTCAGGTCCCTGGCCGTTCATGATCAGGTCTCCGACACTTGGGCCCAGTCCATCGAGGTCGAGCCCGAGCCCCAGGTGCCCATGCCTGGGTCCATTGAGGCCAGGCCCAAAGCCATAATGCACATGACCAATGCCTCGGCACTCAAGCTCAAGTGCATAAAGGCCATGCTCGGGTCATCGATATTCGAGCTCTATTCCCTAGCACTCAAGCCCGAGTCCGTGAAAGCCGTTCTCGAGTTCTTAGCGCTCGGGCTCAGGTTGTTAGTTAATGAAACGTTCATTCTAATAAAAATATTTAAAAAAAAAACTCGAATTTTTTTCTTTTTTTCTTTTCAGTTCTTTTTTTTCTTTTTCTTTTTGCTTCTTCCTCGACCGGTCGCTGGCGATCGACCACAGCTGAGGCATAAGCTCAAGCCTCGCCGACTTCAGGCGGGGCTCCACCTCGCCAGATCGCCATTGGCCGATCGCCAGCCGACGTAGCCGTTACTGTGGTCAATGACTAGCCGAGGATGAAGAAAAAAGGAAAAAGTAATTCAATTGCAAGTTTCGGCCAAACATTAGAAAATATTGTCATTTTCCTGGAAAACATTTTGAAATAATGTAGACATGCATGTTTCAATAAACTTTTGTATTCTTTATTTTAGTGTTTAACTTTAGTGAATATTAAGTGAACAATAATGGAATAAATTATCTATCAAATGGGTTTTAATCTAATTTTAAATTGAATGGGTGAATAATTTATTTATTCACGTAATCAACAAAAGCTATACTTCAAATTATGAGTGTTATTCATGCATTAAGATATATTTCTCTTTTTGACTTAATTTCAACTTAAATTACAATGTCACATATTTAAAGATACTTCGTCTCTATTTGTTTTTCCTTCGAATTTAAAGTCAATAAGATAAGTCCAAAAAAGATAAAAAGTCTAGAAAGAATATCTGTGTAATGATATGCTAGCTTTATCTTGATTTACTTTATTGGACGAATACTTACTTTTATCCTTTATTGTATAATAAATGTTCAAGGATAATAAATCACAAAAATAATAATAATTGATCGAACATAAGCGTGTGGCTGGCCACGTGATAATCACAGAGGCAAAATTAAGTCCGCATGATGAGTATATGAGCGAATATTCTCTCACCTCTGCATTTGACATATTATATAAACACTGACACGTAGATTCTTGATCTTAATTTCTAATACTTCAAATATTTTAAAATTTTAGATTTTTTTAAAGGAAAAAAAAAGGTGACAGCACAAGATTAGACATGTCAAAATGGATAATAAATCCATTCCTTAATCCGTATATGATAACTTGAGTTGTTATATGTGTTTGTTATATAAGTAAATTGATCGTAAATGAGTTTAAACATAATATGGGTATTAAACGTGTCATAAATAAGTTTATGACTTATTTAAACATAATCCACTTCTATGACTCTCTTTTCATTCTCTCTCGCTCTCATTCGATCTCCCGTTCACTCATTCTGCAATCTATCTCAGTTTTGATTAAGTCGGGTATGTGTTAAATCGGATATGAACCACTGGATTTGCATAAACAAATTAAATGAATCTATTTGAGTTGGATCAATTTTTATCCGGCAATACTTCCAATAAAAACACCGGACAAAATGAAGAGCCTGATGGGAGAGGACTTCAGGGGCGACAAGTGTCGGATTACAACTTTGGCTGTTCTTTCGATCTAACTCTGACCGAATCTTTGGCGCCGCGTGAACATCCACAACGAGTCCCGACCTTTTGTTTGCGCACGAAAAAGTAAAAGCTCCGCTGCCGATGTTGACCCCTTCTAGAAACCTTGTCTCCCCGTTGATTTAGGACCCGTTATAAATTGTGGTCCGTTTATTTGAAAAAAAAAAAATCATTTTCGAAAAATTATTTTTCAGTTTTTCGGTGGAAATTTTCGAAAATCCACCTAATCTGAAATCGAGATATTTTTAGAGAAAAAAATCGATGAGAGATGAACTCCTAAGTTTTAATTTATTGGATTTATTATCCAACGATGAGTTGATTGTATAAATTGGATTTACATTTGCCCAATTCAAAGTAAAATATATTGGATATTTGTTTAGATCTAAAATTAAGGATGAAGAATTTTCAATTAGTCGATCAGGTTCAAGTAAACTAGGAGGATCCTCAATTTATTTCGATACTTTTGACGAAGTCTCCGGAATTCTTTTTTCTCAAAGATTAGTAAATACCAAATATCTCACGAATTTAAAAAAAATGTCATTTTCTATAGCATGTTCAAAAAAATATTTTACAATGACACAACTTGATTTGCAATTGTAATTTCAATTGCAAGATTCAAAACTGACAATGGTACTATAAGATTTGATTAATAAGTAAGAGAATTTTCACTTTTTAGTTAAGTGCGTTGTTTCTAGCAAAAATTTTCTTAAAACAAATAATTGTTTGTATAACTTTGAAAAAACTAGTTAATGGAAAATACTTTTATTACCAAAACACAATCTATGCCGAAACGTTTTCATCGGTGAACATATATTTTTAACTAATTCATCCAAAAGAAACAAACAATCATTTTCTAGAATTTTCAGTGCAACAAATGCGACGAAATTTAGCTTGTTTGGGCAAATTTCTTTATATAGGCACTAATCGGCCCATACATCGCACACATTTTTTTCGTGTTCTCATGTCAATGGACGTCAAATGGGTCCTCCTTTAATTGATGTCGGGTTCGAGCTAACTTCAACCTCACGTAGTCGCCTGCACATCGATCAGGCTTAAATTTATTGAAAATTTGGCCCAAAGATACAGAATAGCGATTAAAAGATAAACTCTAAGAGTAAAAGATCGGGAATTATTTCTTCAATTGGATTCTCAAACTTTCACCAAATTTCTTTTTTCACCTCTCTGGACCAAAAAAATAAAATAAAAATTATCCTATCCGACTTTAAATCGTAGTCCAAGGATTTCTTATTCTATCATATCGAAATTATTAAAGGATCGAATTTCAATTGGATTCTCAAAACTTCACCTTGCGTCAAGTAAATTGTTATTAACTAGATTAATTACACGGTGTGGTAACTAAGATGACAATATTTGATTTAAACTTAGAGATCTAATTATGAAGGCCTGAGAATATTAGCATGGTTTCGGCCCTGGCAGGCTGAAAATCAGTTGCTGTGCATAAAATTTTATGTGTATCTTGCTCGAGAGACTAGATGCCCGAGCTAAGCTAGGTGTGGTACAATTCAATATGAGGATGTTATTCACTATATTGTTCTTAAAACAACAATAAAAGGAAAGCTGGCTGTTGTTCTCAACTCATCAGGCGTCGTATGAGCTATTCCCCAGCCAAGGAACTGCCGAGCCATGACAAATGGTATCAGAGCAAGGATGCCTCCAGTAGGTGGGTGATTCGGAGAAAGCCTGTGGCCTTCCCGGTTCTATGAGGGCGGAGAGTGAATGCCGGGGCTAAGAGGGCTCGGACAACGTGTGGCTCCCGTCTAGCTTCTAAGATAGCAATAGGGGCACAAGGAGGAATCAAATTGCTCACTGAATAAAGATAACATTCTTTGATCAATTGGCGACTCTCAATAGGAGATGTTATCACATTTCCAACAAAGGGAGAACCCTCCATTGGCCTACAGAGATCAAGAGAATCCTAGTAGGCAAAAGAAGATGTTGCCAAGGGAGTGCAGTGGCTACAGATGCTACACTTATTAAGAAGCACAAGTGACTAGAGCTTCGCAAACAACTTTGATCTAGGGAAGCTACCAGTGGAGTGGAGTGGCTTGTTCTGTTGGGCGAGCATTGCCATTCATGTAAGTCCCAAGGAGTGCCGTTGATGGTTGGGAAATGCAAGGAAGCGACATAATAGCCCGCAACGAGGGTGTTTCGGAATTGAGTCGGGGAGAATGTCACGGACCTTGATTCTCCCGCACTCTCATATCCCTTGTGAGTGGAGCTTGGTGCCGTTAGGGTGATGAGTGGGTGATGCAGAGATAATGATATAACTGGTTCGTGGGAATGGCGTCAGGGTGATTTGTACTAGGAGTTCTAGATTAGAATGAATATACCATTAGGAGCCATGAGGTGGGATTGACCTCCTATGCACAAATTGGTCGGGAGCTGATGCCTCTCTCTTAATGAGACCATAGCAAGTCGAAACCAGTTGTTGTGCCTAAAGTGCTTTACGTATCTTGCTCAAGAGACTGGATGCTCGAGCTAAGCTGAGCGTGGTGCGATCCGATACGATCATGTTATTTGCCGCACTATTCTTAGGAACAACTATAGAAGGAAGGCTAGTTTGGAGTTCTCAGCTCACCAGGCGCCGCATTCCGTAACCAAGGAATTGCCGGCCCGTGACATCTGCATGTACTTTGTTTATAAGCTCAGTTTCATCCTCTATGCATAGTTTTGCACTTGAGCACAACAAAATTATAAAATTGAAGCACCTATCATCCCATCCTAATCAGTTCAGTCCATTTCACCCTCGAGCTTCTTTGATCGAGTCCTTGGTCGAGCTTTCCACAAGGTCGACTATTTCCAACGTTCTCTCTGGCTAGCAAAGTCAACACTTACTAAAGGTAACACATAAAAAACCTCAATGGAAAAATACCGGTAAAAGTGGGTATATATCAGGTAGGTTTATTTAAATTAATTATTCAAGTTGATCTCAAAAGAAAGCATTTTATAAAGCATACTAAGCAAAGTGGGACAATTTTGATACAAACTCGACATGCCTCAAGCATAATGCATTTATCTTCGGTCGAGATCAATACACATTCCCTCGCACCGTGTTGTCTCGCGTCGTAAATAATTACTAACACGAACCTTGCAAAAGTTCATATAATTATCAACATGTCCGATTACATTTCGTATAAAGAAAGGAAAAATGAACCATAAAGAAATAAACTAAAAAGAACTCGAAGGTAAGAGAATAATAAAAGGTGAATCATAAAGAAAGAAGAGTTAATACCACGAAAAACTCCAAACCGGTACATATGTGACAATTTTACCTCGAACTATTTTTTTAATAATAAAAAATTCCAAATTGGTATACCTGTGATAATTTTACCCAGAACTAATTTTTTGACCATAAAAAACCCCAAATTGGTACATTTGTGACAATTTTACCTCGAACTAATTTTTTGACCATCAAAAACCCCAAATTGGTATACCCGTGACAAATTTACCCTCCGTTAGTTTTCTTAGAAATTTTACTGTTAAATTGCTAAGTTTGATGACACGTAGTAGTTGACGGGTGTACCAGTTGAGGGTTTTAACATACAAGTTTATCAATTTGTGATTTTTCGTGATATTAATCCAAGTTAACGGACACTAACGGACGGTAAATTTGTCACAAATATACTAGTTTGGAATTTTTTGTGGTCAAAAAATTAATTTGGGGTAAAATTATCACCGGTGTACCAGTTTGGGATTTTTGGTGGTCAAAAAATTAGTTTGGGATAAAATTATCACAAGTGTAACAATGTAAGATTTTTGGTGGTCAAAAAAATAATTCGGGGTAAATTTGTCATAGGTATACCGGTTTGGGGTTTTTGATGGTCAAAAAATTAGTTCGAGATAAAATTATCACAGATGTACCGGTTTGGCGTTTTTCGTGGTATTAACCCAAGAAAAAAATAATAAAAAAAAAGAACTTTATTAAAATGAGAAAAATAATAAGGAAAGCTCATAGGATTGCCCCAGGGACAACCCAACCATGTTAACACTATTTTAACAATCTTGTATATATAACATACATACAATAAGATTGTTGGCTCTTTTAATATTTCATACATGTCTAGACAAGAAAAGGAACATATAATATAATGTGAGAATTGAACAATTTTCTTGTTCTGCTGCTGATAAGTGATGTTCATGCAACTCCAAGGCATTATTGATGGTAAGAGAAGGATAAAAAAGTGCGCCATAAAGAAAGACATAGTTAAAAAAAGAAAAAGAACTTTACTAAAAAGAAAAAAATAATAAGAAAAGTTCATAGGATTGCCACACCGACAATCCAAACCATGCTAACATTGTTTCAGGGGAAAATGCCACAAAAAAATCTTAAATCATCAAGTGTACCAATTTGAGGTTTTTATGGTCAAAAAAATAGTTTGGGGTAAAATTATCATAAGTGTATAGTTTAGAGTTTTTCGTGGTATTAACCCAAATCCCAAACTATGTCTAGCATATTTACCATAAAATTTTTCTGTATCTATGTGACACATTTATCAGCCGTCAAGATTATGTTAGATGATTTTTCAGCCAAAACAACATAATTTTAATTTCACTAAATCATGTCCCGTTTGCTTTCGAGTGTCCATGCAAGCAGATTTTTAATAGTTCTCATTGACAAAACTTTGAGAGAGAATAAATGTGTCATACGGATACAAATTTAGGATTTTTAGTGTTACAGAATAGAGTTTAGGGTACACGTCTCATAGTGGGTACGTGGCTTTTTGGCCCTTGTTTTAACGATAGAAATACAAACATATACATATAATAAGATTGTTGGCTTTTTTAATATTTCATACATGTCCAGACAAGAAAAGGAACATATAACATAATTTAAGAATCGAACGTACCTAGGATAAGGTAGAATACAACTCGACAATGATATATCTAGACATTTTTCCTAGTTCTGCTGCTGATAAAATGATGTTGATGCAACTCCAAGGCGCCCCACAACACATCTCCTGGTTTTCCATGACATTATTGACAGTAGATCATTGATTTCATAAGAGGAAAGATCGCAGAGAACGCACAATAGAAATGTATAGAAAGTATAACATGGACATCAAGAGGCAGACGAACTCCAAAACAGTGCAGATTCAACTCTGCTCGCTGTCACTCTTCCTGGGTCTTTCTTAAGCTAAAAAAAGATCACTGGAACATCAAGGTCGGATCAGTGATGCAGTAGTGTCGGAGAGAACCTCCTCTGTACTCGCTCAAAAAATTGTATAACATGTATGATTCTTCACCAAAATTGCAGTGTTTGTACAAGTATTTCAAGAAGAAATGTTACTATCTACAAAAGAATAACCGCCCGCCCACCCCCGCCAAATCTCCCTCAACCACTTCACAGAACTCCAATCGAAGTTCCTCAGCCAGACCTGCTTGAACAATTTAAGATACTCCCCTGCCTGCCAATCTGTTTACTGAGAGAACTCGTGGTTACAGCCACTCTCTTGGCCTTATAATCGCTCGAGTCCTCGTATCCAATGCGAACCAATCGAATTTAGGACCGCGGAGAGGTCGTTGCTGAGCATCGCTCTTGACCCAGTAGTCCAGAATAGTCGAGCTCATCGCCGGCCCCGCTGCACCGGGATGCTGCGGGTCTCGGAACCCCATTTCGCACAAAGCTTGATACACGCACTAGTACTATTGTGTATGAGCAGAGCAAGCATTGCGCAAAGACCGGGTCTTAATCCGACCAAGTCGTACCATACTGCGATCGAATCAGCCGGCGATGAATACAGATTTTCTCTCCGACGAATGGGGTTTTAAGAAAATCTGCGAAAGCTTACGCCTTTTTTTTCTCACCGAGGTGCCATGGACACAGAGAAATCCACGGGCATGCCAAACTTCTCAGCCCAAGCCTTGGACTCCAGATACAGCTTGGAGATCACGGCACTGACCTGGCTCATGTCCGGCCGCCGCTCCGCCTCCTCCTCCACGCACTCCAGCCCCAGGCTCACCATCCTCTCCGCCACCTCCACCGGGTACGAGTCCTTCAGCCTAGCGTCCACCCACCTCCTCACCCTCCCTCCCTCCACCGCCTCCCTCGCGCTTTCTACGACGCTCGTCCTCTTGTAACCTCCGCCGCTGTCCTCCCCGTCGAATTGGTACCGCAGCGCCTCCTCCCCGCTCAGCAGCTCCAGGATCACCACCCCGAACGCGAACACGTCCGACTTCTGCGTCGCCACCCCCGTGATGCGGTACTCCGGCGACATGTACCCTCTCGTGCCCTCCAATTTCACTCCCCTGCTGTTCGTCCTCTTCAAGTTCCGGCTGCCCCCGGGCTCGGAGGCGCCTTCCTCCTCCACTTCGGCCGCCTCGCCGCACAGCTCGGCGGTCCCGAAATGGCAGATCCTCGCATTGAGCGACGGCTCCGTCACGATGATGCTGGAGCTCTTGATGTGGTTGTGGACGAACCCGGCGCCGCCACCGCCGGTGGCGGAGCCCGCGCAGTGGTGGATGTAGTCGAGGCCGTGGGCGAGGTCGGCGGCGATCTGCATCCGGGACACCCAGGACGAGAGGACGGTGAACGCCCGATTCACCCGGTTCCTCAGGCAATCCGACAGATTCGCGCCCTCCACGAACTCGTACACCAGGTAGACGAAGTTCCCGGAGACCGACGCGCCCAGCAGCTTGACCAAGCTGCTGTGGTGGCTCTTGGTGATGGCGGAGAGGCGCCGGCCGAGCTCGGGCAGGTCGAGGGGCCGCTTGAGACGGCGCTGGCAGACGACGGCGTCCCGGCCGCGGAGGGTGCAGCGCCAGGAGGTCGGGGAGAGGCGGCCGGAGAGGAAGTTGCCGGTGGCGAGGCGGAGGTCGGGGAGGGGGTAGATGAGGGGGGTATCGGGCAAGAACTGCTTGATCCTGGACAGGGACGGCTGGCGGGCGGCGGAGGTGGAGGAAGACGAATTGTTGTTGTTGGAGAAGAAGTTGAAGCTGTTCAGGTTGAGGGAGGCGGAGGAGGAGGAAGACGGGTGTGACGGGTTGGAGGAGGAGGAGGCGAAGGACTTGGAGTTGGAGGTTCTTGAGGACTTGGGGGACCGGGCGCTGGCCCTGCGGCTGGGCGGGATCGCATCTGCAGATGCTCTTGATCTGCACATGCTTCTGATCTGCGGCAGCACATGGAGAGCGAGAGACAGACAGAAAGAGAGAAGGATTTGAAGTGGGTTTTTTGTTGGATTGTGATGTTCGAGAACGAGGGATTGCGCGAGCGCAGTTCACTTTTATGGGAGAGGAGAAGAAGAAGAAGATCTAGGAGAGCAGCAGAGAGATTTGGATGGCGGCGAGGAAAACGAATTTTCTGTCGTGAAAGGTGTCGTGAACGGAACTCGCTGAGGTCAGCCCGCGAGACCAGCTCTAGGAGAATTTGTGACGAAGAAAATGGGACATGAGTTTCTTGGCGACATTGGAGGATTCCCATCTCAACGAATGATTAGAGAGGTTGATCTTGCCGACCGCACGGATTTAATGATTTAGGTTCGAACTGGTTTTGGATAGAAAACATATGCACGGGACTAAATTGGGAATCGGGGACCGGACCGATTGGTCTTAGGATCAGGAATCGGGCTGGTGGTCCGCTCCGGTCCATTGAAACCGGTCACTTAGGGTTTAGTTCATATTTTATTAATTTTTGTTAATAGTCAATGAAGTTTACTTAGAGTTTAGTTCATATTATACTAATTTTTGTCTATGAATTTATATCAATGAAGTTCATTTAGGGTTTAGTTTACATTTACTAATTTTTTTAAAGAAATAAAAAAATGAAAATAGTATATGTGGTCGGTCCGGTCCAGTCCAGTCCGGTTTCTCTTTGGAACCGAGAACCGGACCATTCCTCCTTGGAACAAAAAATCGGATCGCCCGGACACCGGTTCCACTTTTATGAATTGGAAATCGGACCGACACTCTTGGGAACCGGACCCAACTGGCCGGTTAGGCCCGGTTTGGGCGGTTCCCGGTTTGGACGGTCCGTTTTGCACACCGCTAGACTAAACGATTAGATTCAATCGGTAAGTGGAATTTGTAGGAGCGTTTCGCGAGTGCTCAGAGATCTCTCTCTGCACCCGAATGCTTGGGCGATTAAAAATGAAATTCCAAGTGCCGATTTGCGTTGCCAGCCCTTGATTGATGGTACGGGAGGCAAATGCAACAGCGATGTGAGGACGAATCGATCAAGAATTGCGGGTTTCCATCTTTATGATGACCCGGGCGACACGGTACGATTAGCCGCGCATTGCTCGAACCGGGGATGCTTCTTTGGGGTGATGTCCTTATCAAGACGTTTGCCTTGAGCTACTCTTGGCCCATTGCCCACGAGACGGTGTCGTTCGTACTCGGAGCATTAGCCTCTTGGCGCATGTGATCTGTCGGATTATGCAGGTCACACGCGATCCAAAACCGATCGGGATGGACTTTGGTCCGTCGTATGCTTTGGGCGCGCGTGATGATGCGCATTGCTGACAGCTTCAGCCACGACCCACCACCGCCCATCATCATCCTTCGCGCCCCACCTCCGCCGTCTAAAATCCTCTACTGACCCAAAGCAGCTCCATCAAAGAAGAGGTGGACTTTGACTTGAAAATGGGGGGGGACACGCGAGGCCCCCATCAACTACGAACAAGAATGAGCGAACGGACGGTTTCTTTTTACCTTTCTTCGCACGAAGTCTGTGTTTGGCAAAGCTTAGAAAAACTGTTCAGTAAATCTAATGCGTGTGTTAAACTGCCATGTCGGATCGCCGTGAACTTTGTGTCGAATGTACACAGACTCGACATTTTTACTTATCTACATAAAAATCACCAAAAGCCCTAAACTATGTCCGCTATGACATATTTACCTTAAGACTTTTTTTTTTGTGACACAAAAAATTCTCAAACTTATACCTGCATGGCATATTTGCCCTACGTCAAAGTTTTGTCATTGAGAACCGTTAAAAATTTATTTACATGGATGCAAACGGTATTGATATGGTGCCCGTGTGATTTAAGTGAAATAAAAATGGCGTTGTTGTGGTTGAAATATCATCTAACGAAACCTTGATGGAGGGTAAAGATGTCACATAGGTACAAGTTTGAGATTTATTATGTCACAAGAAATAGTTTAGGATAAATGTGTCACAGTAGACATAATTTGTGGGTTTTTGTCGCATTTTTCCCTTAATTTTAGTACATATGATAATTACCAAATTATTACTCATATTTCGAACAAATTTACCTTTAGTAGCACACTCGCCCTTCTTTCTTTTGTCTTTTCTCTTCTTTTTTTTTTTTATTTCGCTCTGCCAATCCATAGCATCGCCAATGGATGGCGGAGGTCACTGGCCATAGACGAGGGTCGGGACGCCCTTGCCTAGATCTGGTGAGGGCGTCCCGGCCCTCTCGCTTGGGGCTGGCAACCTTCATTGGCCATCGCCGAGGCCGCGGACCGGTGAAGGGAAATAAAATAAAAGAAAAAAAGAAAAAAATGGAAAAAGGAAAAAATTCAGTAATTTAAAAAAAATTACAAAAATTGTCCTAGTTAGTGACGACCGTGCCACGCCGGCGTCCACGTCATTGATTGCCTATCAAAATTGGCCGAAAAGATGACAAATCATCAAAAGATTTAGGACTAAATTGGTCAAATTAAAAAAATTTTAGGACTAAATTGGCATCCGCATGACATGTTTAGTTAGTTTGTGTTCGGTAATTATCCCCTTCTAATGGTTTAGAATTAACGCGGACTAGGATTTCTTCATAGCACGAACCGCACTGGACTATAGCGACGTACTTGACTCCATTGAGGGGTGATCGAGACGGTGGTGACACACTTGACTCCATCGCCAACGATCGCTGCCGCCATAGGTGAGGTTGAGGCATCCGTGCCGCACGGTGAGGACCAAGAGGAGAGATCTACAAGAGACACCATCTTCTGGGCGTTGAGCGAGTCCACAGATGAGAACACCGCACGAGACGGTGGATCGATCTACATACGAGGGGAGACATATCCTTCAACGTTGAGTGCATGTACTGTATACTTTGGAGGGACCCAATGAAGCAAACAAGAAAGTGCAGAGACTGTCGATGTTCCAAAGTCAGGAAACCAGTGCAGTGTTACGTGCTGGAGTTACATTTACTCGTGTGGGCACGGACGGGTTCGCGTGGAGGAGGGCGTGCAACGAGCCACGCTCCTAAATGGACAATAATCTCCAGCTTAATCCTTCACGAACAAATGTTCAGGCGTCAATCTTTTCATCACACCTTTACAGAGCGTTGCATCGGAGAAGCTCTCTCTTGTTCGCTTGATTAATGGATTCACTTTACTAACTTGGTAACGATAAGAAAAGTGTTCGACTTGCGCGCATGAATTTGGATTTAACCAAGTATAAAGTTGGATTTGCGCACCTTCTGGTGTGCAAGATGCGAGGTCTCGATACAGAAACCCGAGGGCCAAAGTACGAATACCAACAGGTGAATCGAGATATTCAAGTGCGTCCCATTGCGAAAAGAAGTCAGCTCCATTCATGTAAAGTAAAGCCAATCGAAGAAGCTTATATCCTGGCAACAACAAGAAATAAAATAAAAAGGTTTGAGGGCTTACCATGTTTGATATTGACTTTAAGTTTGATTAGGAGTGGGTTTAGGGTTTCTCTCTTGATCGGCAGGGATTAGGTTTAGGTTATCTTTTAACTTGTCTACGCCAACTCTTCCTTTACTCCTTGCGGTTAAAGATTTGGCCCTTCTAGAAATAACTCTAGTCTTGGACAAGCAAGAGGAAAAACACGATGAAGACCATGGGATATTATTACAAGCAAGAACTTTCGATTCCTATGACAAAAACGTTAGGGTTCGGCGGTCCTTGGCGTGCATTCGTGTGAGTCTTGAATCACCTACGTGTACATCCCGAAATAAATATACACTGCTTCCCGGCTGCCGCGAAATGGGACTCTACTGTTCATTTTACTTAGCTTTGCTTCACACCTTACGCAATAAAAGTCTTATCAAAGGAGCCACTACACTTCGAGCTCGAGCTCGACTAGACCCGCATTATTAGTGCTTGAAACTTGATCACTTGAGTTTGATCAAGTATTAAATTTCCTGCTCAAACTCGATTGAATTAGACAAACAAGATACTCAAGCTTGACTCGACTCGACTCGACTCGATTCGACTCCCATCAACTTATATGAGACTTGTATCGATCAACTTTTACTTTTTATTTTTTGCTTAATCTAAATCATGCATGCACTTAAACACTTGAAACTTTCATAATATATAGATGTCATATATATTTTTATAATTTTATTCTAAAATATGGATAATATTTTTAATTTTCGCGGGAAAGCAAAAAAACTACTTTTTATTAAAATTTTAATTCTAAACAAGCAAGCCGCTTGAGGTCAAGCTCGAGTTTAATGAGCTAAAATTAACCTATACGAATATGAAGAATCCTAGAACAGATGAGAGCAAGCTAAGCAACTTCTAGAAGAGAGAGAGATATTTTATAGTACACTAATTTTTAATCAGATATAGTACACTAATATGTAAATGTAGAGCTTTAAAAAAGTGAAATTTAATTAAATTGGGTAAACTCGATAAGGACCTTCCCCGGTCTTTCTCCTTTATTTGTTCTGGTAGAACAATCCCCATTGGTTGAACGCGAATCACTTGCAATAAGTCCAAAGTTCCCTTTCTTCGTACACTTTTGAAATCCCTTTTGTAAGCCGTTCTTACATTACTGCGGTGTAGCGCCAAAAATGGGCAATCTTCGAAAATCCAAGGGTGCAACTTAGAAAGGATTTGGCTATCCATAGTTGACTGCACTATCCATACATTATACGATGTGTACAGAAGACAGCTAAACGATGAGGGCCTATCAACTTAGAAACCCTTCAAAACCGAAACCAATGGCATCTGGAGTTGCTGATCCAACTGTTACTTTTGTCCTGGCCATATTACTTCTTGGATATGATCTGGAGTCATAGGTAAACGCAAGAGACAACCAAGATGTAGACAGCATTATACATTGATGATGATACTGTGTATCGTATATGCCCGACACGAGAAAGTTACGTGCGCTTGTTTTGATCTGCTATTCTCGTAGGACTTCTAGAATGGAGTTACCAATGACATCTCGAGCTGCTGATCCAACTGTTACTTTTGTCCTGACCAATTAGTTCTTGGATGTAATCTGGAGTCAAAGGTAAACGCAAGAGACAACCAAGATGTGAACAGTATTATACATTGATGATGATACTGTGTATCGTATATGCCCGACAAGAGAGTTTCGTGCGCTTGGGTTGATCCGCTGTTCTCACAGGACTTCTAGAAAGGAGTTCGATGTTACCACAGCAGATGGAGACGTGATACTAACGACGAGCATGAAGCACCCAAAACTTTAGAGATGGGTATGCAAAAGAGTTCAGCAGTGAAATCAAAGAGATTGGTC